CTCCTGACGGCATGGAACTGAAACTGCGTGCTTCGGAGAATCGTAAATAATAAGCAACAAAACTGCTCACAAAACAATGTACGAAAATGCGGAGCAATAGATATTTTGTGTTTGCATTACATCTCGTCATAATAAGAGAATACAAGTAACAACAGTCCTCGTGACAAGTCACAATCTTTTCACGCACCCTGGATAACAAGAACAAACTGTTTACCGTGCCAACGAAAGCCTAATAAAAGGATTTTATGCTCACATCTGAACAAAAAGAATCGCTTAAGTAATTGAAGGCCGTCGATACGAGGCAACAAACAAACGTGTAAACAAGGTAGTGCGCTGTTTTTCATATCTACTCAATGAGTGAAAAGCTGGCGCATTAATCTACGTCGTGTGTGTGTTTCCATAACCGCATGTTTGGCTTCATTTGTTCAGTAAATGATTGGTCTATTGTTCGTTTCACGTTCACAGAAAGCCACCTTAGATTGAAGACCTTTTAACGTTAAAGAATACGGGTCGTTACTAGGTTGTGCGATAAATGTGCCGAATTATGGCATTATACTACACATATTTACATGCGTCGGAGCGACTGTTTACTTTCCAATCCTAAAAGATCGTCGGCGGTATCGCCTTTTGATTGTACCCCGTTTTTTTCTTCTTGTGTATACGCAACTTTGTGTCCGGAAAATGTCGAGCACAAAAAGGCGAGTGACTCAATCAATACAGCATAGAAATTTTAGTTTGTCGTTGGGTCGCCTCTATTGTGTCGCAGATGACATTATTTATTTATAAACACTTATTTATTAAAGGAAGAACGCCAACCCTTTGTGCAAACGCTCGTAATCTTATGAGAAAGTTATAACATATGGATATTGGTGCTCCCATTAAAAAAGCTTTTACAGAAAACGGAAAAAATAAATAAATATCATAAGTAAATGATTGTTTGTTTTTGTATTCATATAAAATGAATAAATAAACGTACACAACATGTTCTGGGATAACTGCAACACACCTTTTCACGTAATAGGTTTGGCATTAGGGGAACATGATTACCTGTCACTTTTATATCTCGATATTTGGCAACAGATCTGAAAGGAAATTGAAGGAAATAAAAGCATCCTTATGTTTACCTCCCTCGTTCTCGCAAGTCATTTCATTATTTCACACAAAGAACTTCTGACAAACTTCAATTACCTGTACATGTACGATGCACTGAAAAGACTCCATAAAGTACATGTAAACACAACACGCCCGCTATTGCAATGTGCGATGAGATCGTTTATAAATGATCGCGCATTCACCATTTCCGATGGTTACGATTCCACCTTCAAAGCAAACAACGCAAGTATGATTTGTCAGATTATTATTTGAAAAATGAGAATTTATTTTGGCCAATTATCGTACCAACATTTATTGACTTCTATTTTTTAAATCGTTAGCCAAATGTGGTCACCTCACTAAAACATTCGCCACACTGATATATTGATCAAATGAATAAAAGGTACTCCCGAGGTGTGTGTACCAGGTTAGGGTTAGGCCATAATTATATTCCGATTTACCTTATTTTAGTTCTATTACGAGTTCGGGGCCTGACTGTGTCAGCCAAGTGAGTATCCTCCTGCTCATAGGTTTCAGTCCAATTACACAACTTGATGATAAAATAGACGAACAAAATTCGTTACCACCATATTGGTACACATACTTCTGGAGCGCCGAATAAAAATATCTGTCGTAAATTAGTTATGAACGCGTGCGTCGAATTTTCTTAAAAGATGAATTTTTTTTTTCTTCATATTTACAAAAACATTACTGCGTTTATTTCTTCTTCTTTTCTGCCACTGAAGCCAATAATTTTGTGAACAAATCCCCTAGAAACATTGTTTTTAAATAATCTAAAACGAGCAGAACTTAAGGAGAGCGAAGGAGTTCTATACATATTAGAAAGCTAAAGGTGTTGTTAACACGACTGTGTATTCAAATCCAAATCCTTCACTTTATCCAATAATTAGTTTATATTATCGCTTATGTATTTCGACGGAAAAACTACCGGTTACACATTCAATTTTAGAAATAATCGTAAATTTCCAGTGTCAAAATTTCTTTTGCAAATTGGGCGCGTTTATGAGTATGAACAGCAATATCAAAATCTTTTAGAATTTATAACTTTACTTTTATTTCCATTCCGCGACCAATAGGTTCTGCGCAATACATTTTTAAACTTCTTGATTGCCTTTATTCAACAAAAGGTTATTCAATCAATAGTCGGATTGGTTCTGAATTCACGAATAACTAACTGTACACTTATCTATCTTACCCTTCTCACCCGACCTATAGAAGTACGTGCCTGGCTTGTAAGAGCGCGTGAGAATCTGTCATGACATCCTTGGCTCTGTCTCAAAAGTGACGTGTTCATTGCTGCGTTGAGTTGACAAACAAACAAGGCTGTTGAGCATCGGCTCTTCCACTCGAGGGTAACCGCCAGTTGTTTATTTTCGTCGCCTCTTGACGAAACATTGTCAACATGACGCGTATTAAAAAAAGAAACAGGATTCCCACGCCACACGATCGCAGCACACCCATATTGCACTTGAGACTGGCTGTAAATACGCTACAAACTACCCATGCGGACAGGTTTATCGATAAACTCGTAATATAGACAACTCTTCACATTCATCTTTAGCTATAAATTGTTATTTTTACATTTGGTCAGGTATCATATTTGCCTCAGTTGAAAATGCTATTCAGGCAATTATATATATGAATTTTTCTGGGGGTTTCGATCAACTCAGAGATTACATAAACTCCACTTCAGATTTTAGTTGCACTCAACAAATCGCTTTCTGACTGGGCGATGGATGATGGGGAAAATTAAGCCTCCAATGAAACTCTATATATACCCTGGAGCGTTGTTCGAATCGAGCTATACTCAAAACAATGCCTTCCAGTGGAAAGCATTTTGTTTCCGGATTACTCTTATGAAATTCACTTGTACATTAAAAAAGATGCGTATAGGCGCGAGGTTAGAGGTAGTAACCTGCATAGTGTATATATTTTTCCTATAAATTCATATAAAAGCGGATAGATTTTTAGTTTCAAATATACAATGCAAATTCAGGCAGGATTACCATGACTAGAAAAGAATTTTTTTGGCAATTATTTGAGAACCGTCAATTTGAATAACCCAATCCATCGTAAAATCTTGGATACGCTTTATAGGAGTCTGATACACTCAGAATAATATTTTTTAGATCTAGATTTTCCTAACAAAATGACATGAGCGTTCCAAAATGACAACACACATATTTGAGTTATTTAAAAGTTACACACGTGGCGTAAGAAAACAGCAACTTCCGACCAACGATTCTCCAGATTTATGACCTTGTATCACAAATTTTATTCTTTAATGTTTAACCGACAAAAGTCAGAAATCGGCAGGAAATGTACAACAATGCGATGTTAATTTTGGCATCGAAATTAGTCATTATTCGTAAGTCGTTTACTGACAGATGATAATATAATAGTTCGGTCCTAAACTAACAAAAACAACAACAAACAAAGAAACAAAGCAAATGGAAAAGCCGAAGAAAACAACCAAAGAACAACAAGAAATGAGCGTGTACAAAATAAATATTTTGTTTCTAATTGCCCAACTGGTTTTATTGCTCTTGGGTAGATACGAAAGAAGATCTTATCAATCCTCACGCTTTTGTTGTAGAAAAACATTTTCAAGAATAACTCCCATTGTTGCGCATAGTCATAAAACATTCCAAAATCGTTACTAAATAAGCAGAAACCATAAAAGACGTACATTTATATTGGTAAACAAATGTATAGACGCGCGTCTCTGCAATAAAATCCAAAGAGACGTTGTGTTTGTCGACAATATACCATAGCAGTACAAAAAAACAAACATTACGCAACAATACCGACCTATTATCGAAATTTTGTATAAGGCAAAGTCTCAGTCCTGAGTCTTATAATAAATTTATGATCGCCTTCCTATTTCATTGACACTAGGTCAAAGAATGGCATTACATTTTGAATATGAATAAGAAGCAAATGAAATTAAGAAACTTCAGGTACCAAGAAAAAATAGACTTTCAACTGATTTTAAACCAACGGGTACAAATAGAAAATGTCAGTGGTTCAAATTTGAATCAATATTACAGCACACGTCTCCCCTAACTTCGATGGAGTTATGCTACATTTTGGGGAAATATTTATAGAGATTTCGACAACAAAATAATTTTATTTCGCCGCTCATGTTTTGCTCCGATTGATCGATAATATGATCAATAAAAGGTAAATCCCCGAGAATTTCTACTTTTTTAATAATATGAACCTAAAGTAATCTACTTTTCATGGTTTCTAGACTTTAATGTAGCAAGGTTTCCGTAAATTATTTAAAATAATGCTATTTAAAAATGGGGCAGTATTTTAATTTTTCATAACTTGGTATAAAGCTAGAATTGCCCGCCTGCTAATATACGAGTAGATGGAAATTGAATTGACGATTATCAGTTAATTATCAACTTATACAAATAATCCAACACGAGGTATTTTTACGATTTTACATCGAAAATTTTGATTTCATCGTATCACTGCCACGAATGCGATGATATTACGACATCTAGCGGAATTACAACGATGCGTTAAAAGCCTTACTGCATTGCAATTTATTACTTATCGATCTTAATCGGTAAGTACCAATTCAGTACCACTAAAAATTTTGAAGCAATCGGTCCAGTAGTCAAAGATAAAATGAATTTTTCACAACAACAATAAATAAGACCAAAAATACCAGAAACAACAACAAAAATATTATAATAAAATGATCCATAGGTCCACTTTGTGTCCAATAATAAAATAACGTCAACAAATATTTTTTGCCAGAAATAGTGAAATCGAGGTATCATGATCAAACTTTTGACAATATTTCCTGATCAATACAAATATACGCATTATGTCATAAATCAATACGTGAAATGTTAAGGCATTTTACTTAGGAAAAGACCGAACAGGATGAAGCAGCGTTGTATATTTTATGTGATATTTTTGACATTAATATATTGTGATGGCGAAGGTGAGTAAAATATTTAGATAGAAGTAAATACGTGTAACATAAGGTAACATTGCGAGAAGTATTTATGAACTGATAAGATATCTTTGTTCTCCACTATGGACATATACGATTTACAAATAAGTCATTTTGAATGGAAATAAACTATGTTTAGTGACCTTATATCAAACAGGTTCAAGTGGACGTAAACGAACACTTCCTGTATGAAGAGCCTTGGTCAAACCCGTACCCAACGTATTGGCGATCAAATAATAACCTATCTAATACGATAGTTAGGTATATCTCATTTAGATGTGACGGTACACTAAATTCACTAAGATATGTCATAGTTAACGTCCTGTTGCACCTAATATTACAAAAGTGAAATTCGTAAACTCATTGCAAATTGGTTTTCAAGTGCTGACAGTACATCTAAAAAGGTTTCTTCGTAGCAAATTAAGATGACCGAAAAATCTGCACTCGATTGACCAGTACTAATTTGACGAAAACTCAAACATTGATTTACTTTAAACAAAACTTGATTCATGTCCTAAAAATTAATTCCTTTTTTTAAGGTAATGCTGAAGATGTTTGTCAACCTGAATCGCCACCTGCCCCTGATAACGGAAAGGTTTGGTGCAATAACTCAAACAGACCAAATTCTGTCTGCATGTTCACATGTGAACCATATCATACATTAGTCGGCGACAAAATCAGTAAATGTCTTAAAACAATCAACGGGACAAGTTGGACCGAAGCTAATATTGAATGCAAACGTACGTTTAAATAACAAGACGTTTATTTATTGTAGATATCATGACTCATATGCGGTGTTTTCACTGAATAGAGTAGTAGGCAATGGATGAATTAATTCTCGTACTTTAAACCCTAATATCTGTTCCAATTAATTTGGGTCTGCATCTTTGAGTCTCCAAATATACTACTGATGGATGAATTACAAACTTGACACAGAAAGTGGTACTTGTTGGTTCTATGGTGTTACATAAATACCGCTTGACATTGGACTATAACTTTTGATCTAAAAAGAGATCCATACATGCAGTCGCTTGTCGACTACCGAATACTGACGTAATTTAGACAGGTTCAAAAAATTCTTAAAGAACTCAAGTGTGCGACAGAACCAGAATAATATGCACAAATATCTTCTACTTTTCAGTATGACCCTGTTCTTGTTTTGTCACAGCTGATCACTGTGAACCAGAGATACATTCATTACCAAATGGCGTGGTCACGTGCTCTCATGGAAGTAATGTGAGATCAGTTTGTCACTACAAATGCACAATGCCCGGTACTAGCATGTTCTTGGGAATGAAAAATACAAATCGCTGTTTACCTTCGAAGAAATGGGATGTGAAACCACCATGCTGTCAAGGTTAGTAAACGCCCAGTTTTGTTCATTGATATGGCAAACAGAAAAGTCACTCCCAATTTATTAAATGTTAAGAACCATCTTTATACAAGTTAATTATGTTAATAACAACTCTCATTTGGAAACTTATGTCTGTGTATATCGATGGCATGGTGTATTGCAGTGTGGCGTGGGTGATCTAGTTATATTGGGACATGGATGGATGAAAATTGTTCTATTCGAAATAAAAAGTTTACAACTAAGCAAAAAAAAGAAGAGAGAATGCATTGAGTCATCCAATGTCTTAATAATTAGCCAAATAATTACAAATCTTATCGTATTTAACATCAACTACTATTTGATCTCGACTGGTTGTGAGGCAGACATTCCTACCGGAAGAAATTACAAATATATATATATATAGCAATGCATTTATTTATTTAACAAACTTGAATAACTATTTACAATTTGAGTCTTACTTTACACAAGTCAAACGAGCATACATTGATTCATCTAAACCTGCATTCATTTGTTTGATGTAGCACCGTGTCCATCCAGTGCCAAGATGGATGCTGTTATCATAATGGATTCGTCTGGCTCGGTGGGGGAAGCCAATTGGGAAATCATGTTCACCTTTGTTCAATCATTAATTAGGTATGGTCATTAATTTGTTGATTTGCCCAGTTCCTCTCTAGTAACTGTGGGTTATTATAATATACTTTTGACTAATCGCGACACAATCGGATTTTTAGTTACTGTTTTTAAATGTTTGTTGCTGTGGATTGATGAGAGGTTATTCTAGACCAGGGGTCACCAACTTTTATGAAGCCGATGGCCACTTCCTGGGTACCGATTAAGCTAAGGGCTACCAGTTGGATGCATATTTCTGAAAAACCAATTTGCTCTATCATGCTCTAACTATTACAATTACTATTAGAGGTATATTTGGCCACTGGCGACACTGAGAATGTACAAGATTTTTCATGAAATTATCAACCATCATAACAACATAGGAAATACAGTAATATCAATACCCTTTATTTTTTTGTAAGTTAGTGCTTTTCAAATTGAACTTTTTAAAATGATCACTTCCACAACAGCCAAGGAAATCACAATGTGGGCTACCTGCATTTATAACAAATACCCAACACAAGACTAAGATAAAATTGACTTAGAAGTTGTGCTATCAAATGTTACATTTTACAAACATATTTAACAATTATGAATATCCAATTTTCAACCGGGACTAAATCTGGTCTATTTACTCGTCAGTTACCTGGCATTGCATGCTGTCGACCAATTATGTCCACCGTCCATGTTAATGAAAGCATAGTTTTACATAGCTGAATGACACCCAGTGACCCAGTGTAGGAATAAGAATAACGATAATAAGAATAACAAGAATAAAATTGATAGATACAGCCAACTGGCCAATTTGAGCTAATTTAGAACAAACCTGCGAGCGACTCACGTGGTTTGCGCCGGCAACGCGTTGGTGACCCCTGTTCTAGACTTTATAACTCAACATTAAATTCAATTAAAATTGATCTTGCAGATTTTTTTCATGTCTTCCAGAGCATTTCCAATATCTCGGAAGTTAACGCACTTTGCCATGTTTCGGTATCACAGTCGGGTTGACGAAGTATCTGCCACTCACCTGGAAGATTATGACCGATTGCTGGACGGATTACTGTATAACATGAAGAAAATGGTTTTTCAAGCAGGAAGTAATGATCATATTAGAAAAATTGTGACTATTCGAAATATAGACCCATTGAGGTTTGTTTATCCTTCACTGTGGAAATAGAGTATTCGCTACTCAAAATTATCCACAACATTTAGTTAAATCAGCACTCTCACCGGTCGAACAAAAACCATACTCTGACTTCTGGCGCGATACCAACCCATCTTGTTTAACCTAGTTTGGAACAAATTGCAGAGGACAAATATTTTCCATGTAGATATATATTTTTGAATTTATCATTAAAAATACATCTAAAAATTTCTCGAGCATTGCCATTGTTTTCGGCATATACACACTATCAAAATGAAAAACTATTGATGAGCCAAGCCCGAAAACTTGCATTTCACTTATATATTTTAAATGACGTTTTTAGGAGAGTGATGCCCGCATAGACATATAGTAATAATACTTGTACACAGAAACAATGACCGGAATGGCTCTACGTTATGCAGAAAACAGAATATTGAGATCACCAGCAAATCGGCCAGATGCACGAGATCTTGTCATTTTGCTAACTGATGGAAACTCCAATGATAATGCGGAGAATCCGGCAAAAATTATCAGGGGAATGGGAAGAACGGTTAGTTACACTATTATCTCATTTAGGTATCCATGTAAACGTGTCATTTTTAGCTGCGCCTCATAAAAGCATAGATTTTTGTCTTTATCTCCGATAACAACCTAAATAATTTTTCAGATTATTGTGATAGCAATCGTACAACGATACGGCTCTCTGTCAATGGATAGATTCTACGTTCTAGCGGGTGATCCTTCAAATGTTCTTCTGATTGATGGATTTCGGAGGCTCGATGCTGAACTTCTAAGAAATCTGATAAATAAAATTTGCAACGACATATGCATAAATACTGAAATTATTCAATAAATCAATTTTAATGTTTGTTGCATTGTGTCATTTTGCTGATTGGTCTATTACTCTCCTATTTACAGTGGGAATATGTTAACCCTTTGTTGAGTACGTTTTCTTAAAACCAAGGTCAGGAACTTTTAACCAAGCCGGGACAGGCACGCCGCCATTCCCATGGTACAAGACACATATAATTTTATTTTTGTGGCAGGGTACGAGTGAATATTAATTGACACTGTATAGGCTACAAAGGTATAATAAAAGAACAGGAAAATTTACGTTTGGCGCAGGATTGGATTTGATCATCGGGCAGCAAGAGTATCTGGGAAAAACATTGTGGTATTGATAAATTGTAAAAAAAAACTGTCATCGGTCTATTTGTTGAATGTGTACAGGTTCAGGTAGGTCTGATTTTTGGTCATTGTAATTCATTGCCATTGCCTTCGTGGTTCCAGCAGCAAAAAGTGTACGATACGAAAATCTGAAGATAAAATGTAAATTCATACATGCGAACACTCGCTGTTGTGCCACTCACAAATCACAATACATAATATCACAAACTTTCCGGTTAATATACAGATAAATAGTTGTGGAATTCATTTACTCGATATTAGAACGAACAGAATTTATGCAGAAGGGAGTGCTTTTCCTATTCTAATGCAAAAAGTTTGTAAAATACGGTGATTCCCGCTTTTTGCGGACATAGCCTTTTGTTTTCTTTAACCCGTCTAGGCTTGAAATCACCGATTTGTCATGTCACCGCATTTCCTGATCAATAGTCATGTGACTAAGGTGCTGATTGATCCAATAGGGAAATATCGAGGCAAATTATATAAAACGAGACTATACAAGATGAAACAGAATATATGTTTTGTGTGTTATTTCTGGCTTCTATATATTCTAATGGCAAAGGTTGGTAAACTGTTTAGATAGGAGTAGAAACATACGTGGTATCAATAGTTTATCAGAAGTTTGTCTGGACGTATTAAGATCATATTTCAAATCAGTGTGGAAAAAGCTTGCGTACTTACACTGGAATTTACACGAGAGCTTTTGGTCAGTCGTTTGATTGTCACTGTCAACCAGCAAATATACCTAAGTTTTTGTACATATATAATATAAAAGTAAGCGCCAGGATTCGAAACGTGAGGTATCTTGTGAAAATTTTTTTTGTGCTTTCTGTTATTCCGATTGAAATATCAACAATGGCACTGAAAACTGTGTTAAAACGACTTTTAGTTTCCCTATTGATTGATTGCTTGCGATGGTTGTGTTTTTTGTTGAGTTAAACTTATTTAGGGATTTCGTTCTGATTTCTCTTTCATGTGGTATTTTGAGCAATTACTTTATAATCTGATTTCACACCGTAATTTTTACTTGAAATGTATAAGCAATATCTTTCCTTGTGTTACATGTTCTTCGAGAAATTATGTTTTGAATTTTTATCCTATTTAAAAGTAGATTTCTTCTAAAAACAGCAGCTTTTATCATGCAACCAGATTTTGACCCTTGTACTTTCGTCATTTTTTTCACGTGAACCAGCTCAGTAGTATACCACCCTTATCTGGTTGTTTTATTGATTGTGTTTTCATGCTTTGTTCAATCCGTGATGAATAATAAGATTCTTTACTGGCGTAAACTATCGAACTTATTATTTTAAAAGTATTTTTTTCAACAACAAAGACCTGCTTCATGTATTTAAAAATTTAAATCATCATTTTAGGGTTCCATCGACAGTCTATGTCAACCAGAATCACCACCCATCCCTGATAACGGAAAGGTTTGGTGCAATGATTCAAACAATCCAAATTCTATGTGCATGTTCACATGTGAACCATATCATACATTGGTTGGTACAAATAAGAGTGTATGTGTTGAAACGATCAACGAGACAAGTTGGACAAAAGCGAACCTTGAATGCAGCCGTAAGTTCATGAAACAAAATGCTTATTCGTAGCAGGTAAAGTAAATTTAATCAAAAACTTTATTTTATTTCATGTTAATATTTGCTACAGCAAATAAGAATTGAAATATATATATTATTCGCCGTTATGCACAAGTTCCTGTTTTGTCATAGCTGACCACTGTGAACCAGAGATAAATTCACTACCGAATGGAGTGGTCACGTGCTCTCATGGAAACAAAGTGAGATCAGTATGTCACTACAAATGCACAACGACCGGTACTAGCATGTTCTCGGGAATGAAAAATACAAATCGCTGTTTACCCTCGAAAAAATGGGACGTAAAACCACCGTGCTGTCAAGGTTAGTAAACCCTCAGTTTTTATTTTATTGTTTGATTTAATAATTTGTATTTACTGTATCATTCACATCAATAGTTGTCATGTATATAATTTTCATACCTATTTATGCGCCCGATGTCTACATAGACTAGTCTGCGAGCACTACCGTATAATACTTTATATTGGGTGATCGAGGGTGATTGAGTGATACTTTATATTCTCAAGGCTGTGAAAGCTGACAAATTATCTTCAACTCTAATTAACATAAATATTTAAAAAATGATGAAACCATCTCCATTTTCAGATTTCGAAAAAGTCAAATTTCAACCAAGGAAACGTTGATATAATTAGTTAGTTTCTATCGTGAATTTCGGTTCCGAATTCATAAATTACGAAGAGTGTTTTTTCTGCAAAGAAGACTCCGGCGCCTTCCATAAATACGACTCCGACACTACAGCCCAGACCGAAAAATCTTATATGCAAAAATATTGCGTTGATTCAATTCAATATTATTTACAGCCTGAAATTTGTTTAACAAATTTAAAACGCGATGTTTGTAAAATGTTAATACTCTTCATTCTCAATGTGTCAAACGTTCATAAATCCCCTATTTTCTTATATTACGGAGACAATTTATTCGAATATTATTTTGTTGCAGCACCATGTCCATCAAATGCGAAGATGGATGCTGTCATCATTATGGATTCGTCTTCGTCTTTGGGCATTGCCAATTGGGTAATCCTGTTCGAGTTTATTCAAAAATTCATAAGGTATGCTCATGCAAATATTGTCCGTCTTATCCAGCTTTCTCTACACTGTGAATCTTTATGCCAGTATAATCTATACTTTGTCAAATTGCCATAAGAGTGTTATTGTATTTTGGTTAAGTATGTTCAGATCAAATAAAGCACTACCCTGAAGGTGTAGCTGGAAGTAACAAAAAGTTAGCTTGTGTTACCATTGGTTTTATATGTATACGTTTCAAAGTTTTATATGAGACGCTGATACGGGTTGGTGAGAGATTACAACGGAGTTTATAACTCAGTTTTGACTTGAAATACCCGACTCCGACATGTTTTTTCAATCGAATTCGCAGAATTTTTGTATATTTTACAGAGCATTTCCAATATCCAAGAATTTGACGCGATTTGCCATGTTTCGTTACAACATGCAAATTGACGTAATATCTGCCACTCGTTTAGAAGATTACGACAGTTTGCTAGATGGATTACTTTACAGAATGAATAGTATGGAGTACGATGGACGCGGTAATGTGCATTCTAAAAAATGTGTTCACTTATTGTGGGATTTTTGAAATTCCTCCTTGAAATTGCCTCTAAATTGCCAATACCTATATTTGAATACACACGCTCAGACGGTGGTACAAAATGCAGATTTATTATTCGGTCTTGATAGTCCCTGTTTTTCCAACGTAACAATGGCAGTTTTTTTTCCAACTGTTCCTGTATATTTTCTTTTCTCCAAGCATTATCCTGAATTTTCAACACAGGAAAAATATTTTAATGAGTTACTGTTTATTCTTCGAAAGCCATTGCGCCATAAAGTACCTTCACGTATTTATTTACTCAATAGGATACTTCTGTTACAATTACGACATTTAGAACGATTTACAGATAATTGCAAGGGTAATGTGGCCATGTGGGGGTATATTTAACTGTGATTTGGACCTTATGATAATATTTGTACACAGGTACATACACTGGAATGGCTCTACAATACGCAGAGGAAAAAATACTTAGATCAGCAGCGAATCGACCTGATGCGCGAGATCTTGTTATTTTACTGACTGACGGAAGACCCCAAGACGATGTTAATGGTCCGTCGAAGAGAATCAGGGAAATGGGAGGAACGGTTAGTTATTTTGTTTCCACAGCAGAATGAATGTGCGCGAAGATGTGATCTGTATTTTTGATATATTGTTTGAATATTTTATATAAGCAGCAGTACGTTTTTCGACATGTTCTCCGATATTAATAAACGAATGATTTTGCAGATAATTTTGATTGCAATCAGGCCACCAAGTGGATATCTACCTTTGGATGAACTTTACAAAATTCCTGGAGATCCTTCAAATGTACTTGTAGTCGATGCTGGATACATAGGACTCGACGATGAATTTTTGCTGCTGCTAATAAATAAAATTTGCAACGACTTATGCATAAATTCTCCTCTTATACAATGAAGAAATTACAAATTTGCTGTGTTGTATAATTTGGTCAACGGATCATGATGTTTCCAATTCATGGAGTACAATCTTGTTTTCTATATTAATGGTTAGATAATGAACACGTGGGAGTTTTTTTGAGTTGATTTTACTTTTGTGAGAATTCTTAATCAAAAAAGTGTAGATCTGAAATGATTTGATTTCCAATATCTGAATGCCAGTGGCATCAAAGTTTTTTCTTTGCACAGACATCAGTATTAATTTTGCAAAGGCACAGAGAGTGGAAAGACAGTTAGTCTCACATAACCAAAACTGACAATGAGGGAAAATCATTTCGAGTGCACTTTTTTGTATATCCTAACCGCGTGCACACTACCGTGTTTCCCCGAAAATAAGACTGGGTCTTATTTCAATTTTCTTCCGAAAAATAACACTTTCGGGGGATGTCTTATATTTTCATTTATCAAAAACAAGTAGAATTACGAGAGTTTAATACAAAATATGAAAACTGATATCCACTCACTTTTAAATAACACGTTTTTATTCAAAACAACTGCAGAACATAGATCATCAATCATTTAAAACGTGTAGGAGAGATTTCTTGTTATCGACTGGGTCAAAGAAATTTTGCGTTATAGACTAGGACTAGGTCTTATTTTAGGGGGAGGGCTTATATTAAAATCATTTTCAAGATTCAGGCTAGGTCTTATTTTCGGGGTAGGTCTCATTTTCGGGGAAACACGGTAACATAAAAATATGATTAAAGGTGTCATGTGTGTTTGTTGCATTTGTTTGTGTTAGTCTACCTCAGGGCGTTTAAGGTTGCTAGGATGGAGGACCGCAAAAACTTTTGAGGTCTCGCGGGCCGCAAGTCGGAAAAAACCCAAAAGTGATCGAAATATCTCGAGTTTACTTACTTTCAATTCAATAAACAACGAGAGTTTACCGTTCTAATTAGACTATTATTATGTTGCATGGATGGCGTTCTTTTAAAAAAGATATATAAAGCCCTGAGTTATTTTAAAATTTATTTCCGAGAATTACCGTTGTATTTTCCGCATCTCGCGTTTAATGTCGTTTCAAATTATATTCTTTCGTGACAGATATTACTTGAAATCCAACCAGACACTATGTGATTTGTGGTCATGACGTGTAATAATATGTTATTTTACGTTTATTGGACACGGTAGTGGACATAACGATCGTTTCAATATTATGTTGTTGTTATGGTTATTCTTCGTCACCATCATTATGAAATCGCTTTTCTCTTCGAAGACAAACAGTCAAATACCTATCAACATACTTACCGATTAAAATCGATAAGTAATAAGTGGACAAAAGGATCGTTTTGTTGTTATTTTTATAAGTCTTGTCGTAACTGTAAAAAATCTTCTTTCTCTTTAACTCCTGGACCAATCGCTTCGAAATTTTCAGTATGGTTGTAGATTGTTGTTGTCGCTAGAAGATTATTGCTTTTATTTATTTCAAAAAGTCAAAACAAAATATTAAGATCAACAGCAAATTGGCCAGATGCACGAGATCTTGCATTTTGCTAACTGATGAAAACTCTAGTGATGATGCTGAGAATCCGGCAAAAAGGTCAGTGAAATGGGAGGAAAGGCTAGTTTCTCTATTCTCCCATTTAGGTGAATCCATGAAAATTATTATTTTAAACTGCGCCTCGTCAGAGCATAATTTTTTGTGATGATCTCCTATAACAACCTAAATATTTTTTCAGATTTTTAGATTTCTAGCAGGAGATCCTTCGAGTGTTTTTATCATTGATGGGTTTTGGAGGCTCGATGCTGAACTAGGTCTGATTGGTGGTCATTGTAATTCCTCATTTAGTGTATCATTCGTGATTCCAGCAGCAGAAAGTGTGCGATACGAAAATCACTCACAAAACACAATGCACAATATTACAAACTTTCAAGTTATTATACAGATAAATAATAGTCGTGCAATAATTATATATAAGGCAAAGGGAATTTCAACAGAAGGGAGCTATGTGTAATAGCTATGTATTGCTTTCCATACTATTATATTTCAAAGCAAAAAGTTTGTAAAATACATTGGTAACCGCTTTTTTGCGGACATAGCCTTTTGTTTCCTTTAACAAGTCTAGGCTTGAAATTACTAATATGTCATGTCACCGTATTTCCTGATCAATAGTCACGCGACTTAGATGCTAGTGGATCGAATAAGGAATACCGAGGAAAAATATTAAAAACGAGACTATACAAGATGAAACAGCAATGCATATTTTGTATGTTATTTCTGGCTTCTATATATTCTAATGGCAAAGGTTGGTAAACTGTTTAGGTAGGGCTAGAATCATACGGGGTATCAATAGTTTATCAGAAATTTGACTGGACGTAATAAGATCATATTTCAAATCAGTGTGGAAGAAGTTTGCGTAATTACACTGGAATCCGTGGGCAGAATTTACACGAGAACCTGTGGTCAGCAGTTTGATTGTCACTGTAAATCAGCAAATATACTTAGGTCTTTGTAAATAGTAAAAAAAAAAAGACCGGTTTACAAACGTGAGGTCTCTTGTAAAAAAAGGTTTTTGTGCTTTCTGTTATTCCGATTGAAATATCCACAAGGGCACAAAAAATTGCATGTGTTAAAACAATTTTTAGCTTTCTTGTTGATTGATTGTGTGCGATGGTTAAGTTTTTTTGCCCGGAGTTGAGCTTATTTAGGGATTTTGTTGTGATTTCTGTTTAATGCGGTATGTTGAGCAATTACTTTGTGATTGATTTTATACAGTATCTTTTACTTGAAATATATATAAAATATCATTCTTGGTGTTTCATGCTCTTCGAAATTTTTTCATTTTATTTGAAAGTAAATTTTGGGGTAGATATTTCTCTGAAAACAGGAGATTTTGTCATGCAACCAGATTTTGTCCTTGTACTTCCGTTATTTTTTTCACGTGAACACGCTCAGTAGTATACCACCCCTAGATGGTTTGTCTGTTTTTTTGTTGATTGTGTTTTTATGCTTTTTTTATCTGTTTAATCCGTATTTTTGTTGAATAATAAGATAACTGGCGTAGACTATCGAACTTATTTAAGAATTAATTATTCAGAAATTAGTTTTGGAAACAAAAACCTGGTTCATGTACTTATAAAATTTAATCATTATTTTAAGGTTCTATTGAAAGTCTTTGTCAACCTGAATCACCAAGCATCCCTGATTACGGAAAGGTTTGGTGCAATAATTCAAACAGACCAAATTCTGTATGTATCTTCGCATGTGAACCGTATCATACATTAGTTGGTGCAAATAAGAGTGAATGTGTTGAAACGATCAGCGGGGCAAGTTGGACAAAAGCTAATATTGAGTGCAAACGTAAGTTTATGAAACAAAATGCTAATTATTCGTAGGTAAAGTAATTTTAATCAAAACCTTTTTTTATATTTTATGTTAGTTTTTGCTACAGCAAAATAAATATTGTAAAATATCTACTATTTGGCATTTTGCACCTGTTTCTGTTTTGTCACAGCTGACCAATGTGAACCGGTGATAAATTCACTACCAAACGGAGTGGTCACGTGTTCTCACGGAAGCAAGGTGAGATCAGTTTGTCACTACAAATGCATAACACCTGGAACTAGCATGTTCTTGGGTATGAAAAATACGAATCGCTGTTTACCTTCGAAGAAATGGGATGTGAAACCACCATGCTGTCAAGGTTAGTAAACGTCTAGTTTTCTTGGATGATATCTCAAACAGAATAGCAATTTAAAAAACTATATATAGTCTCTAATCTGGTATACTTTTGTGTATATTACATATAGTAATATTTTATATTGGATTATCAAGTTTTATTTGCGCACCCAGGGCTTTGAAGTCGGGAAACGTCCTATTCAAATCCAACTGGGGGTTAACACTGACTATCACTCTTGACTCCAGGATAAAAAAAAAAATGAATCCAATTTCATTTTCGACTATACAAAGCTTCAATCACGAAACTTTAAAACATGAATCCAATTTCATTTTCGACTATACAAAACTTTAATCACAAAACTTTGAAATAATGTAAATTTAGTACTTGTTGAAAGTTCGGTACCCGACTTTCAGGAGTCACAAATCACGACTCCGTGGATTTTAAAATCCAGAAACACTTATCTCGTATTCACTTAAAAAAAGCGAGAACGGATATCATCTGCTATGTTTTAGACGTATATATGAACAAATTCACACGACAATTCGTGTTAAAACCCCATCTATTCTAATTGTCCTAATCCCCACATTCCGATGAATTATGATTTATTAGGATACCATTTGTTGCAGCACCATGTCCATCAAGAGCTAAGATGGATGCTGTTATCATGTTGGATTCATCTTCGTCTTTGGGCGCGGGCAATTGGCAAATTGTGTTTAACTTTGTTCAAAAATTTGTCAGGTATGTGTTGTTATTTAATTTGGTAAAGCATTACAGATAATATTAAAAGGTTTTATGATAATGCGCATTGGCGAGAGGTTTTTCAAAATTTATAATTCAGTACTACATGCGAATGAAAGTCTGATCTCGATAAGTTTTCTAAAACGTATTCACAGAGTGTTATATATCTATTTTAGAGCATTTCCAATATCTGAGAATTTGACGCGGTTTGCCATGTTTCGGTACAACAAGCAAATTGACGAAAAGTCTGTCTCTCATTTGGAGGATTATGATCGCTTGCTAGACGGATTACTGTACAGAATGAATTCAATGGCATATAATGGAAGGGGTAATGTGCATAATAAAAAAAAAATTAAATATTAAAACATGAAACTAGTGACGTCATTTTTTTATGTAGAAATAGAGTAACCTAGCTAAAGTCTAGATTTCTATTTGGTACGGTCAACAGATATTCGAGTCCGCACGCCGTCGTAGTAGCTAATAGCAGACAATGACTGTGGTTTCGATAGTATCTATACTCGCTTTACCTATACCGGTACTAATGGAAGAGAATAATTGTTTCTGTTGTGTCTTTGATACAATTCATAAGGAGTTTCTTCTGCACTGCCACCAATTTTTGACACAGCATAATATGATAATGAATAATTGACACGTCAGAAACCGGTGTCTCGAACATGTCGTGTCCCACTTGTCCCAATGAGACAAGGAACAAGTGTTATTTTTGAGACATCCCAGATTCTGTAGTGATTAATGTGAGCGGTTTGCCCTTTTTTTAGTCGAATTTGCAGTTAGATGAGTTAAAACTTCCGATATAGAAATGTTTGGAATACCTTGCTATCTCAGGCCGAGTTTTTATTGGGTAATACACAAGTCGTTGATGAGTATACGGGTTAGAAGCGGGTCCAGAAAGTAATGTACCGATCGATTATTTTATACCAGGCGTCGGTTTAATCTAAATTTATTTGCGTACTTCCCTTTAAAACAGTGGTTCCCAACCTTTCTACCCAGGCGGACCGGTAAAATTAAATAAAATGTACTCGCGACCGGAAAAAATTGAAATGACCGGAACATAAAAGAATATCATATATTTGCGTAATACAATGCAATGTCGGGCACTCAATATGCATCTAGACAGAAAAGGCACACTCAAAAACAGCTCACACGAAAAACTATCAAATAATGTGCCGATCAAAAATATTTGCGTAATGCAGTGCTGGGTACCCATTATGCGTAAGAAAGGCACACATAAAACATCTCACATAGAAAACATGTACATGCCAAATCATGTACAAACGCAATTAACTCTAGTGAAAATTTTGCTGCTGTTTAGTTTCCAATATAGGATTGCAAACGATGCCTCAAGGAAGTTTCTGCAACACGTAGCTCTGCAGCGGCGTGCAGCCAATTTCCTTGCTTCGCTTTAATTAAAGCTAGTGATGAAAATATTTTTATATATAAGTAATAAATATATAAGTAACTCGTTGAAAATACGGACAACAGTTTGATATCTCGATTACCTAGCGATGGGTATTCGTTATTCTTTTTTAAATCTGGACTGTAAAGTAGAATCACAATTTGAATCAAGCTTTTTCATTGGGTTTATCATATTAATCCCTCTGCAGTTGATACATGCTTTAAACAGGATGAATTTGCATTACAATGACAAAGTCGTCGGTAATTTGGCACCAGGCTCAAAATCCTACTTTGTCTGCTCAAGATACTGGAAAAGATCTCAGCTGCCCATGCTTTTTTGCGCTCCTCGTGACCACCTGCCATATTTTACTGGAGTATTATACTTTTCTTGACTGTTTTTTAGTTTGAACAAAGAAATATGCATAGCGTTTTATTTGGAAGGTCATATTAATTAGGAAAAGCATGCAGTGCAGAAAAGGCACGCGTGCCAATTTTTGGGTTTCTGAATCTTGTGAGATGATGATGAAGCGCATTCACGATGAATCGTAGCCGAAAAAGCAGAAAGTGTGATTCCTTGGCGCCAAGATGTCGCGAAGAGGTCGCAATATGACGGCGGAAGAGAAATTGCGTAATAAATCAACCTCGTCTTCGGTAAAGAGATGGGAGCGCATTTGAGATGAAACGGAGCCGAAAAAGCAAAAAGTATGATTACTCGGCGCCAAGATGTCGCAATATGACGGCGGAAGAGAAATTGCGTAATAAACCAACGCAACCTCGTCCTCTGTAAAGCGATTTAGACGGCATAAACCACAAAACATCGAAATTTTCTCGCGGACCGGCAATAAAGCTTCGCGGACCAGCATCGGTCCGCGGACCGGCGGTTGGGAACCAATGCTTTAAAAAACACTTCTTTTACTTAACTTGAAGGTCCAACTCAACTGTATACCGCAAGCGAATTCTAATGTTCGATATCTATTAACGATAAATTTTCTTTGTTGACTATTATTCTGCGTAAACTTATATCATTTCATTATACCGTGTTCAAATTTAAGATAAGCTAATATCATGGTCATATTGTCTCTAACGGTATGGTATTACACTGCTTCTAGATGGTTACCGACCACTGTTTCAAACTACCTATAACGCTTGAAATATATTTAAACTAGATTTTTTTGGCCTCGAAACGAAAGCGCTTTAATAATAACGATATAATGTAAACGAGTGGGACACGCGGAGCAAGTGGGAGACGTGGGACAAGTGGAATGCGTGTGACAAGTGAGGCACGTGGGACAAGTGGGACACGACATTTTTGAGACACCCGCCAGAAACTATATTTTCCCTCCAGGAAACTCTAGGTATGTCATACGATAATGCGTACCTCGAGCAAAGATATCTCACGATAAACTTCATATATTAACTCTTTGAACCATGACGTCTCTGAGCGAAGTTGCTCTCTCGCCCGGAGGTCTGCGCGCCGTATCGGTAGGACAATGAAATAGTTCGAAATATTGGTATTTTTGAACGTTTATTAATTTTTACCGATTATGGATAGCGAACTGACGGGCATCTCAAACGGAAGCAAATATTTTCGCGCAGTGAGATAAAATGTTACATTTTGGAGAAAAGTTTGTCAAAAAGTGAGAAATTCATTTTGGTCGCAACATATTTTTTTCTCATTTTTTCTGAATCGTACGGTATAAAGATAATTTGTACCTGAGATGTTAGTTAACGGTTAAAATAAATCGTAACCGTTAAACATCTGAAATCGGTTAATCCCTGCCCTATGTATATATCACAGGTGTTTCGGTCTTATTCGATTCTGGTTGTATCATTACTTGCAATCTCGATACCGCTTCATATAAAACTATACAAAAACGATATATAAAAATTAAAGAGCTTTTCTTGTAATATTCACTAGGACTATAGGACACTAGGCAAACTTCACTTTCGAAAAAAAAAAGTTTGAATGATTTTAGCTATCCCTAATCTATATTCTATAGGGCAGATTTTCATGCAAACAGTCTGCAACTCCTACCGTATTGTGAATTAATGTTGAGTGGCACTACATGATAGGACATCCATTATGGTTTCATGTTTTTTATTGTTCTGTTATGTACTAATAGACCTGGGTGGTCCAAGGTTGACGGTCTCGCGGGCCACACTATTGTTTTGGTATTGTTCGCGGGCCACAATAGTGCGAAGAATAGGTGAATATTGCAATACAAAACAAACACTTTTATTGTCCAAACACAATTTTCAATATTTGTCATGCCAAAACTACAAAAAACTCACTAAAACGTGCAAACATCGTACGGACCTCCTGAAGTATGCTCACCAAGATGGCGCACAACCTGAACTCAGGTTGTGTAAGGTTCAGTTTGTGCGACATCTTGGTACGCATACTTCGGGAGTACCCATCTTACTATATCTACACTTGGTGTAAAATTTCAAACTCTTCATAACGGAGAAAATGTCGTTTTAGATTGTCATAGACACAACTTGCAGACATATCAAGCAATCATTGTGGCATTTTCCCTCCGATATCCAGCTAAATAAATATTTGTTTGAATTGGTCAGCTTTCTTGTCAAACTCATGTTTACAAAATAACTGCAGATTGGTTGATTACCGAATTTTACCAAATTTGAGATACCGGAAAGTAATTACTCAATTTTCTGACATATAGGCAGCATTTTTCACTGTTTCAGCTAGTTGTAAAAAAAACACTCGACAGGAGTTATATTGTTCGGCCATTACATTAATAAGTAGTTATCGGGCATAGCCAACCTAGGCTAATTAATAGATTCCTCAATCGATTTTTAGTTTTCTATTAAGCCTCTTTGAATGGCTCATCATGCAATCGTTGTGAAAGTGTCTATAGAAAGACTTTCAAATTCTCCAGCTATATCGTCGATTGAATATGTGGCTATTTAGGCAAGAAATTGAATTTCTTTTATATCTAATATTTGTTCTCATATAATAATTTCATACGCACTTTCAATTTACCAATTTTACTAAAATATCGTATAATAGAGCATCAATACAATATAAATAGTCCCAATGACCAGCTTTAATGCAATATAAAATTTATTTGAATACTCATTGTGGTTCTAAAGATATGAGATCATAAAGTTGACTCCTTCTGAAACGAAAAACAAGCCGGAAAACCGGCTTGCCGGGTTCAACCGGTCAATGTAATATGTCTAAAGCAATGTTGTTGTGGTTAAGGATCGTGCTAAAGATATTCAACAGTGAATAGTAACATAATGTTATCATTTGTACATAGGTACATGGTCCGGAAGGGCTCTACAATATGCAGAAGAAAAAATATTGAAATCAGCAGCGAATCGACCTGATGCAAGAGATCTCGTTATTTTGCTGACCGATGGAAGATCCCATGACGATGTCGCGGGTCCAGCAAATAAGATTAGGCAAATGGGAAGAACGGTTAGTTACCTTTTTTTGACAGTTCCGTAAATTAGCATGTACAATGTACATACAATTTGTTATTTCGTGATATTTTTCAAACATTTTATGCAAGCAATTATATGATTTTTGCTATGTTCTCCGATAATGCTAAAAATGATTTTGTAGATTATTGTGATAGCAATCCCGCCACCAAAAGGAGCTTCATCTCTGGATACACTTCACGATATTGCCGGAGAGTCTTCAAATTTAATCGAAATCGACGGATACTGGGGGCTGGACGATGAACTTTTGCGGCTGCTCATAAATAAAATTTGCAACGAAATATGCATAAATACTAATCTTAGAGAATGAAGCAGTCAGAATCTTTGTTGTGTTGTATAATTTGGTCAACTGGACATGCTATTTCTAATTCATAGCAGATAATATTTCATATATTTGTTTAAATGCAAAATACGTGAACAAGGTTCAATGGACAGAGTCATTGTAACCACTTATATACACACGTTGTCGTATCAAATCTGTGTACCTTTGCCCCAATATTCTTTTCTACTCGCGAATATTTGTGTTCCAACCATATTTTCCTTCATTTTTTTTAATAAATATATTTGTTAGAAATCAAGGCAGAGCACATATTGCAACTAAATCTTAGTTATGGACGCAACGATTTTACAAGTCATTGCAAGGTCTAATTATATCTCATTTTTGCCTTGGTTGGTCATCTTCTTACATGGATTTAATGAAAATACAGTACGATCATAAATCGAATATACACTGGCGTTTGGGAAGTTGGCAGGCCAACTACACTGTGTGAAAACTGCTCACAAGTAAATTCATCGCATCAGTCTTAGCTAATTACACAAAAGAAGTGTGGTTCAATAAGGAGTAATATATAAAGGTATATAAGAGAAAAATAGAGAACGAGAAACGATCCCGACGTGTCAAATTAAAATTTATATCGAGCAATTTGCTAGCTCTTATTTGCCGGACTCGCATTTATCAACATTCAAGACAAGTCCGTATATCCGAAGGCGTAAGAAAAGTTGGTCCAGTGCTTGGCAGTGTCGTCCCTCAGTATCCGTTGCAATTCATATATCGTCTAAAAATACGAATTTATGTTTCAAACCGGAGATTACTTCCGGCAGAAAACGATACAATGATGAACAGGCGTTGCACAGACCAAATGAGTTATATATATTTGAGTTAATGATTCACCCTTCAGGGCAGATGAAAGCAGCTTTCTCTATATCAGATTGATGAAGAGGTATTTGATGATATGCTTTCGAAAGATCGCATTTGATAAGTATTAACGAACATGTAATTCATCAGTGAAATCGCGCATGTGACAAATTGACCATCTGTGTTTTTTAGTCTGAATTATTATAGGGAATTATAGTCAACGAAAATTCGCATTTCATCGCTATTCTTTTTGGTACAACTGCGATGGGAGACGAATAATGAAAGTTGGAAATAACTATGTCTCCTGATTTAATAAGTGTTTGAAGTTGTTCCCTGACTTTTTGACGTGAGTGGGGCGGAAAAGGTGAATGCACTGGTTGCCCGGTTGTAATAATACGGTGGATTGTGCTAAGTTTCGCCGTAACAGATACGTGTCGAGAGATTTTCAAATCTTCAAATTCTTTCTACGAATGGACGTAGTGGCTGTGTTATTGATCTGCCAAAGAACTTCTTACCATATATATATATATATATATATATAATATTGAAGTTTGGGTCGAAGAGGCGTGAGTTGCGTAAGCCGACCCCAAGATCATGTTTTGACAACAAATCTAATCCTGATATCGGTCGTGCGCTCTGGAAATTACAAATATATATATTCGATATTGTTATCTAATACAAGATTCAAAACTTGTTGGCCATACCATGGTATTGTTGTACCGTTGGCCTGGCCGGGGACGGTTGTATCGTTTCGAATGTATAGGAAACCAAGAAAACTGTTGCTCATGTATCCACCAGAAATCTTCGACCGCTTTCTATATTAAATAAGTAGAGAAGTAGAGATCTGTGTTTGAAAAATTAGAATTAATTCTACGGAGTACGAAGTGAATTTATATGGCGTTGTGAAGTTTAGTACAGCGCCCTAGGAAAAAAAGAATCCCAATTTGGAAAAGGTACAGGGCTGGACGCAGTTGCGTGCTAGATTTTCATAACGTTGATGATACCATACAAGCAAGCATTCAGACGGTGATTTCTGTAATTGGCGTTGTAACATCTGCCACTGCTATTTGATAATTGATGAGTTTGCATGTGGCCTGTCGATGGATTCATAAAACTCGTGATCTGTCAGTTTCTGGTACGCACATGATGTTGAGTTAACGCATTAGACGTACTAGAAGTATGGGGTGCAGCTTCCGAAGATCATTGTGTCGAGTTATGTTTTACATTGTCAATTTCTTTTCGAAGATTACTAAATCCATCATCTAACTTAGAAATCATTGATGTAACTTCAACATTGGATAATTGTCTACTGCTCTCAATACCACAGTCAGGGTTTAATTTATAATTTTTTATGAGGAATACGATTAGCAGATTGTAAAGATTTTCTGGCGAATAATTATATTATCAGGTCAAGTAGGTAATTCATCGACGGTATCATCCGGATGTGCAGCAAGAGCTGAAGCAATATCTGATGGTAGTTGCTGAAAAAACATTTCCTTCAAAACTTCCTGATTGGAGCTTAGACGTAATTCGGGCAAACGGAACTGCGCAGCTTCCTTAGTATTTCAGATGATTTAAGATTAAAGAAAGCATCCACTACGGAACCCTCCTGCTTCGGTTGATGTGAACCATTCGTCAGAGGAAGGAGACCAGAACTCTTTAATTTGAGGGGATGGACGCGTTAATGAATAAGCTCTGGTTGCGATCGAGCATGACTATTATTATTATTAAAAGAGCCTGCGAATAGTGTGTCATCAACGTTTACTTGTGTCTCAGACTCTAATAGTTCGACGTTATTATTATTTAGAGCTGAATCAGTCTGAGTGCCCTCAATTGAAAGTTCAGCAATAAAATCTTTAAAAAAATAATTTTTGATTTCTTCGACACTTGAGATATTATACTGCTTGAAGTTGATTATGATCACGTCGGGATGGCACTAACATTCTGTAGGTTGTGTGGTAGTATTTCCCTACGACTCCGCGCGTACGGAGATTGCGCTTCTTAGCTGTCCACTTCCAAATCTCTAGGTTAAATTTTGATTGTGTATTGTATTGTATCCTTCAATTAAAACGACAACGATAAAACAGTAAAATGACTCTGTTTGAGGTAGCAGAGTCTGATTTTGGTTTATCTTCAAATCACATTTTAGTAAAGTCTTTCTTTTTTACAAAGTCATCTTAGTCTTAGTAAAATAACCTCTCGTCTCGTCGACTATCGTCGAAGTGACGTACGCTCACCTCAATATTCACCGTGTTTTGTGCTTTGAAATTTAGCGTGCAGTTAACAGCATTTGCCATTTTTCAGCTGTGGCAAAGATTCCGATGATGTTCTTTTTATTTGCATTGGTATTTTGCCTCACTTTATATTTTATGTCATAAAATATAAAGTGGCATAAAATTTATGCGAATGTGAAAAATCTCACTGATCGTGAGATAGCCCTCATCTAAAACTTGTTCATTCATTGTTACTAACCACGCATGGGACATATTAAAATCTCTATAGAACTTAGGTTATATTATTCTAGTTTATATTTATATATTTAGCCTGATCTACGGTTACCGTAATAAGCATATTCACCAAACAGAAACGGCGGATATGTTTGTGTTCTATGTTTGATTTTCCACATAAAGCGAATAAATATCGTAGTCGTTCGTGCCTTGCCATATATTTATTTGTGAAAGCTCTGCAGTGCTACTCATATTGACATTATGACCTTTTTTTTCATCTGATACACAAATATTGACCGCATGAGCTTTTTTCATTGCGAAACGTATAGCATTTTTGAAATAAACTTAGAGACGATAGGTTTAACGATATTCTTGAAAAGCTTGGAGAATAAAATTAACTTAATTTCTATTTGAAGGCGATGTAATCTAGAAAGTTCTATTTATGGTTTGTCATGTTAAAACTATTTACAACTTGGCTCAGGTAAAGAAATATTTCACAAATAGGACTAGCCGTGAGGGAAATGACAAATTGCAGACCATTCGATAGGCTACTTGGACTTCAAATACTTCCGAGCGTGTTAAAAGTAGAATGGTGTTTGACGGGCTGAACGTTGGTTCGTGTTCCAACTGATGTGGTGTTTTGACTGTATTGCAGTGAATACTGTAAAGTGCAAACACTTGTCTAAACGGAAAATTCAGTGAATCAGGCTGTTTATTTTATTCAATTTCATAATGTGTGAATTAAATGTAATTTTTTAAGACTTCTGGTGTGTATTTTCAAAAACAGGCATTTTTCAATATTACTTGTGTGTGTGAATTTTGCAATTTAAAGTCAATTGCATACAAAAGTGTTGCTATTTGTTACTTTGAGCCTATAATATCTAGTTTTGTCACGCTATATTATTCTATATCATTGTTTTTAATGCAACTAATCGTAACGTATAGGTACAAAATGCTGATGAACAAAACTACCACTTTGAATACCGGGGCGAAAATGCCTACCCTTGGTCTGGGAACTTGGAAATCGAAACCTGGCGAAGTCAGGGCAGCAGTCGAAGCTGCAATTGATGTTGGATATAGACATATTGATTGTGCATTTGCTTACTTGAATGAAAATGAGGTCGGCGATGCAATACAAGCAAAAATTAAAGAAGGAAAAGTAAAGCGAGAAGACTTGTTCATCACTACAAAATTATGGATGACATACTTCAAGCACGCCGAGGAATGTATTGAAAAAAGCTTGAAATCATTGAAATTGAATTATGTGGATTTATACTTGATACACTGGCCAGTAGGGCTGCAGTACAGTCCAGCATCTCTAATCAAGCTGGATGAAGACGGAAAATGGTTATTCGATGAAAATGTACATTACAATGATGTCTGGAAAAGTATGGAGAATATACAAAAAATGGGACTGACAAAAGCTATTGGAATAAGCAATTTTAACAAGTATCAAATTGCAAAGTTACTAGATAACTGTTCAATTGTGCCTGCCGTTCATCAGTATGAGTGCCATCCATACTTTGACCAAGACGACCTCCTACATTTCTGTCAGTCGAAAGGAATCGTTGTTACTGCTTACAGCCCCTTTGGATGTCCGGATAGACCATGGGCTAAGACCGATGACCCCAATCTTTTTGGAGAACCCGAGTTAAAGAAGATCGCAACAAAACATGGGAAAACGGTCGCTCAAGTTCTTCTCCGATATCAGCTTCAGAAGGGAATGGTTGTCATTCCAAAAAGTGTTACTCCTTCTCGCATTCAAAGTAATATACAAGTGTTTGATTTCGATCTGACTGAAGAAGATAATGCCATTATAAAGAAACAAAATCGGGGCTGGCGTATTGTTTCGCTAGCCGAATGCGTTTTGCATAAATACCACCCATTCAGAGATAACTACTCGGAATAAAAAAAAAATACGAAAATAAATTTAGCTATATCCTAAGAACTTTCTAGTGTTTTCATTTGTAATGCTTATTGTTTGTGATTTGAAAGAATTAATTACGAACTGTGTATGCTCTCCTGTGACATAGGTATGATCATATTAATTTTAATTCGTCAACACTTCCAAACTGTACAGCCTTTTCTATAGCATATAATTCTGTATTCACAAGGTAATGATTTTTGAGATTCTTTCCCAGACGCGAATTGTTTGCTTTACAATTTCAAAAAATGAATTAGAAATTATTTTTATTTTTTGGTTAATTATCAAAGTTATCACTATACAAATGTTAATTGTTGCAAGAACTTGCTTGATTCAGCTGCTCTCCATTATATCTCCGGATTGAGACTAATCAAGTCCAGTCTAAATCGCGATATAAGTGGATTTCAGGTCCCCTGAAGATTTCCATTCACTAAACTTCGTGAAGATAACAAGCAGTGTTTGTCATCTTAATCGGGTTTAGTTCTGAAAATCTTTAATGTATAGAATAGATGAGTAGACGCTACTTCGATATATATATATATATAGTTGCATACTGTTTCCGCTGTGCTTAAATCGTACTACGACAAAATCATTAGTGCACCACATTTTAAAATGGCTGTTGCAGTGAACACTAAAATTTGTCTAAAAGGGTTGTAACCCTGAGGTATATTTTCCATTAATTTGTGACTTCGCTCATCTGCACGGCTCATTTTGAAAGCATCTGCGACTCGCTCATTTTAATTTTCGTAGTCGGTGGTAGAAATACTGTGGGAAATTCGTGCCATATTACAGTATTCCATTGATATCGTATCAACTGACCACAAAATACCCTTTATCAGTGAATATACATTCTCGTTCGTATGATCAAGGATTAAAATTATGTATCCTATTTCAATGAGTTGTCTATGAATTGCCGCCCTGAGCGACCTAAAACGCAATGGTCGTTGAATTGAAAATCCAAAATCCTACTCATTAAATGAACACAAAGTGCCATTATGGAAAGTAGTCTAACATCGCCTCATACTAATGAATATGTCTAACGCACTATTAAGAAGTGCCACATTATTAACGTGGAAAACACTGGTCTCAGTGACCAATACTGGTGACAGTGAAGTTTCCCGAGAAAACTGCTATCATCGAGAACCTCTAATTTTGCGTAAAAATTACTCGACGATTTTTGTAGTAAAGCTGATGCTTCACAATGGCGCAATAAATGTTTTCGAAATTCCGTGATTACCACAAAGGTCAGTTATGTTTGGGTGAATTCGAACAAGACATAACTAGAGAAACCACGATAGTCGCTTTACATGTCACGACTATTGTTAACAAGGAATTCCTTTAGCAAATCAGAGAAAAGCCGATTTGAAATTGCACATGATTTATTATATTCAAATGAAAAAGGATAACAACAAATCAGCAGGTCGTGTTGAAGTTCCACTAGTTAGAGATTGTATAAGTGATATACACCCCCGTATATGCAAATTGATTTCTAGCTAGGGTTCTTTATCCGGTCCTGGTATTTTTATACCGAGTTTCGGGTGAAAATGAGTATCGATGATCTTGCGAGTGTTTCATCTAAATAAAAATAATAGTATGCATAAGGATGAAAAAGGGTCATTTTACAGTAAATGGTATTAGTATTATTGTTGCGTTAAGCCGGTTAAGGGTTTGTGGTAAGGCTCAGAACGAGTTTGATCTAAGTCAATTCGGTCATAGTAATTTTATTTGTAACCTTACACAACATATTTTTTTTCAATAATTAATAATGTTCGGATTAAAATATCGAAATCCAGAAATAATATTGAGAATATCAACCGTACCTCCAAAATCACCACAAGAATCGGATTCGGTGTCCAAACCACCACCCAGGCAGACCGAACGGCGGTTGCACGATTTTGTTCTGAACATTGAAGAAAATACATTAGCAATAGGTATTACAGATATTCTTCAAGATTAGAATAACTTACAATGGCCGATCGGATACAAAAATGATGCAATAAATGATGACATTGATGCTGGTTAATTGTTTTACATGGCATGTCAGATTGACAGTCTTTGTATGTTGCATTTGTTACATGAAATATATATATATATATTATAGGGTGTTCATCGATGAGACGATTATTGCATAAAATCATTAAAATAAAGAAACAATCAAACAACAAGCGAAGCATTTTAAAGCTGTATAATATATATGTTAAACTTAGAAAACAGCGTCCATGTGAATCTTGATAGGCTATAAAGAGGACCCAGCTTTCAGGCTTCAATGAAAAAATAATAAGTAGGAACGCTATTCTTCTACATAATACACAAAGAAGATTTCACCAAGAGAAGTTTGCTTACTTTACGCCAGGGCACAATGGGTAAGAAAACCCTTTTTTATCGTAGGCTCGGAATTGGATGAACCCCGGAGTTGATGTAGATCTTAGAGCTGCTGGAATATTGTTTAGCACCAATCTGTCATTTCCCTTCAGATATTGCACAGGTTGTGTGAGAGTTGTGTTTATACGGTCACATGAAGAAAGACCTAGAAAGAAATCTTATTTGAGCGTCGAGTACCACAAACTGAGCATATATTTAGATACTCTCTGGAACTTATGAAATTACTTTTTAATTTATCAAATTATGTTTGTTCAAACTAGGAACAATATTTACATTAAATGTAAATTATTTAATTTCAGATTGTGCATTCGCAACCGATTCATCTGAAGAGCGGGGCTCGTGATAATCTGCGGAATAAGATACACTCCGCTCATTGACGCTAATCAATAATGGCTGTGGTCGCACACAGTAGGTCACTGTGGTCAAATTGAAGTTATAAAAGATATATATGTCAAAGACAGAATCTATAATAGGCGTAAGTTTTTTTCTAGATTCATGTTCTTTCACAATTTCTGGTTTACCACACTAATATGCGTACTTACCACCAATTCCAGAAATAGTTTCTAGTATTTTCGTAAATGCAGCTTGTATTTCAGAATCTATAACTTCGGCACCACTTGCTCTTAAAATGAAAAACAAAAAATTTACTGATATGCAAGATAACTTGTTATGTCGCTTTTGCTTTTTATGTTGCTTTTTGGGATTTACAAAGAAGACTTTGGCCATGTGTACATAAATCCAATAAATTTTTTTTCTACATACTTGGCTGTGCATTTTAAGACGAAGCACGAATTATTCTTTTTCTCAATGCCATCATATAAATGTTGGTTTTGCAAAGTTACCAAAGTGTGACGTACAAAAATTCAAATCCAGGCTATCATATAATTTTTTTCACATTCGTACTTTGACAACAGCGTGTATCCAACCAATGTCGACTTAGGATGCCCTGATAAAACAATTCCGTGATTGAGTGCAGTAGTTCCAGAGCTCCATGGTGACCGAGTAACACTTGAAACTTCCGAATTCCATTCCTATTATCACAACATATACAGTAAATATTAATGAATTTTCGATTTTGACAAGTAATTTACCTACAGATATTAATATTCAAGCATCTTTGGACTTTCATTTATTGAAATTTACGTTACATGTTTATATACATATATATTGTACAATAGTCTTAATATCAAGCACAGCAAATTTAGAATATCAAACCGTCGTGATATGTATAGCACCGTGGCTGTTAAAATTGCATTTTACGGTCAGGATACGGAAGCATAGAACTTCATGTTACGAGTCATGAGATTCCGGAATCCAATGCATTGAAATAACGTATTAATCATTCGACTTCAAGTCAGATATTCTAGGTAAAACGATTCAAACTGACTAAAATACGCAATATAAATAAATATAATCTCACTTCTGTATTAACAATATAGTAGAAAACTTTACAGATTGAAGGATCGCCGGCGCCATATACGGTAAATGCATGATATAGTAAAGTGTATTCGCCCGATGATAAGGTTCCACTTCTTGTATTGTATGATCCACTGCCGTCGGCGCCTGCATCCCCTTCAGCCTGGGTTAAACATAACAATATTTTAATCAAGTTTTCTTTTTGTAAAGAAATGCAATAACACATATATATTATAATATTATATAACATTAGAGTGTAAGCCCTCATTCCCACAACTTATTATATTTTCTGCAATAAAATAAATGATTGACATATGCCAATATACATACGCTAAACCATTACAATAATAAAATACAGTCAGCAAGCATATGATGGAGTGCCGTAACAACTGTCTAAGTTTCAAAGCTGCTATATTTGTTTCATTCAAAATATTGCCGAATCGTAGTAACAATAGATAGGAAAAAGTCCGCCACATCAAAGTATTAATACAAAAATTAAAAAAAAATACAGTTGTATTACGTTACAAAGTTTAAAGAACCTTCAAGGAAAATGAAGATACTTCCTTATTTTCGTTACCAATCCACATTAATAAGTTGAATGGATATGATGTTGCAGTGAAGAGGTCAATTCCCGGAGTAGAATTTCTGTCGAAAAATAGTATAATAAACTTTAGATAGTTATAAACATCATCAAATATGACATTGCCTTGAACCAGAATGATATACGAAAGCTTTCGTCCTAGAGACCTAGAAGAACAATGTGATTCGAACCATCTTACTTGTAATTTATATTATATCTGATGCTGGTCGCGGGTTGATTTCCGATTTGGTAGGAAAGCTGAAAATAACAGAAACCTTTTTTACAAGAATAGTCCTTCGCCCAGATGAATCAGAATACATTTTTAATGTGTTGCAGGTATGGCGAAGATTTAGTCCACAAAAATGTTCGTTTTTGGAACATGAGCTTATGCACAATGCAAGGCAGGCGGTGTTAGACAATATATTATGACCGAATAGCTAACAAAAGTAGCATGGGTCTGCATGTATTTTACAAAAATTCACATAGCTTAGAGCCTCAGACGGCTATAATAATTGTTCTATTTTTTTGAAATGTATACTTGAATGCCCTCGTGTCAATGAGAAAATTGGTTACATAAGTGCCTCCTCTTATTAAAAGTCGAAATTTGTTTACCTAAATAATTTGTTAGAAATACTTATAAAATATGAAGCACTGTACCTTATTTCCATTATCGTACATGTCACTACCGCCATCACCAATTTGAAGATCCCCACTATCGTAAGCGTAGTTGAAAAATCCAGGAACGACATTACGGATTCGAGGAGCCGCTGAATTAAGTGAACTTATCATGCTGTGGACTTGACCATAAAGGCTAACTGTAGAAACAATAGATTTGACTACAGATAGAAACTTGATTTTCATTTATTGTTTTTGGCTTTTGCTTACAAATTATTTTATTCATATCACTCACTTTTTATTATATTCAAGTTGCATGGTGAAAATGAAAACTCAATTGAAATCACAGATGAAGTAGGAAGGTATAACTAATGTTGTTTCGGAGCACAGTATATATTAGTACATATTAACTGCTCTTATTAATATTTTAATTTTAGTTCAATTTTAATTATATTAATTCAATTATATAATTAATATATATATATATATAATATATAATATAATTATAATTAATTTAATTTTTTAATTTAATTTTATTTAATATATTAACTATCCTTTAGTACCTGTTGTATCAACGTTCTTCAGCGGATAATGATCTCGAAACAAAGTGGCTAAATTTCCTCCAAAGTTAGACAGAAACGATGTGTTTGTGAAATATTTAATTGTTGCTCGTTGAGATGCCTCAAGTATGTCAACATCATTCGGGACATGCCATATCATGATATCTGAAGCCTTTAAATAGGATTGATATGTATTAAATATATTCATCTGCATTAGAAACATTATCTTCATATCTGTCTCCCCCATTCCTAAGCCATTTTTTGTGGAATTGATAATTTTGTCTTTTCAGGCAGTCGACGTACTTTTCTAGAGATTTAGGGACACAACTGCTCATGCAATATTTCTATTCTTTATTTTCAATTTACGCCGAAATGACTGTTTTTCAGATTTGTCCGATTTGGGCAAATTGGAAATTTGTTCACCCATTGCAGATTTGATCATTGCAATTCTGATTTAGCAAAATTATAAATTACTGCAAATTTTATTCAAAACAGATGATGGAAAATACTTTATTGTACCAATGCAATGATACTGTTTCCGAAAAATGATGGCTCAATTTTGCAAAATAGCAAGTTCAGGAAATTGTCAACATGTTTGCGAAGTAGACGGTTTTCCACTCTTTCAAACTTAACCCTCTCCACATAAAGCGTAATTACTATGATATTTCAGTTATTTCATTTCATTGTTTTTGTCAGCTGATTTAGTATTTTAAACGAATATTATTACTATATATAAGGACATTAAATATTTCACCTGTAAATTATAAAAAGCTTCATTCTTGTAATCTGCACTTGTTGCGGCACCAGCAGATCCAAAGGTATTATAATTCACCCAGTTTCCAGACGCTGTAATTACGCAGATTAAAAATGAAGTGTATGCAATCTATAATGCTTACTATTCATGGTAATTTGGAAATGAAAATAACCAGTTATTACCCAATGTCAACTTTAAAATTATTATCAGTTGTATATAGTGGGAAAATTTTCTATAACACTATGCATTCATTATTCAGGTATTCCCAATTCCTACGTTCTTAGTTATTCAATATATTTTGAGCAAATGTCTCCCTAAGGCTAAGCGATTGTCTCAGGTTCAAGACCCGGTACATAAAAACCATCCGACACTGTCGATCCAAGCAGTATCGACCGCTTTATTGCTTACCCTTCTATTTTTTATTTCGAATTAGCTAGAATAAGTTTTATGGCACAATTTACATATTCAAATATTTACGTACGTGTATGATTTTTTTGTTCACTGGACCACATATCACCCAAAGTACATTTCCCCTCAATATTGTTTTCATGAATACTTGCTACCAAAGTCCAGCCTCCGCCTGCTGATTCCATATCGCAAAATACCTAAAATTTATGAAAAATATCATATATATTATATAGACTTGAAAGGGAGAAAAAACACGTTTTACGATATGTTAAGTAAACGAGTTGAAAACGTCAATGCATGATAGCTGAAAATATAGTTAATGTCGGTAGTGACACAAAACCAAAAACGCGGCATGTACAACATTAAACAGTTCTGATGTTCGTTTATATTCCAGAAGCACAAAATCGGCAGTGCATCTTAACCGGGACAGACAGGCGACCCACATCCTAACGCAAAAAAAACTCTAAAAACTATACCTCAAATACTTGAGATCTATTCTGAGTTTTTATTCCGTATATTCCAGATTCGTTCACGCCTTCTTGCCGTAATTGTAAACAAGATTGTGGAGGAAACGCAAGAAGCTTAAGTTCTAAGAAAAACAAAAGTGTTAACATTATAACTACAGAGCAGAAATTTCAGAAAAAGATGACAATATATATATTACAAACGCAGAAACAAGCGTAGTGTGATGTTGCTTAATTGTCACCTGTGTGAAAATTAAGAGATGCATATTTTGTTGAGTTTGTGGCAGTTCGCTTACTATTTATGTCGTATAGTTCAAAGTACATTCCTAATATGAAACTGTTAAGACTTGGATGATCTAGTATTAATTTTTTTCACAAACAAGAGGGAATTTACCATGGGACAATTATCTATTATCATCAGTAGGAAATAATCGACAAAAACCGAATCTACCAATTAGTAGATCTTCCCTGGCGTCTCTTGTGAGATTTTTGCATGGAATAACCAATAAAACGATCACCTGAAAACATTTCTCTCATTTCTTCATTTTCAGTTGTCATCTCTTCCATTTTTCGTCTCATTTCAGCAATTTCCTCTTCATCAGCAACGTTACACTGGCAAGGGTCACCTTTATCACCCTTTTCTCCTTTAATCCCTACCGGTCCACGCTTTCCATCCCTCCCTCGTTTCAAAGAGCTTTCATTGGTGGGTGGTGAACCCACAGACGCTCCGGGTTGGCAAATTGTTGTTGTACAAGTATATGGAGGAGCAAGAGATGCCGGGTTTGATGAATACCCACTTGCGAGAATGTTCGAAGCAACAGACAGAATGACGATTAAAATTGTACAAGAATTCATTGTTAGATATATTGAAAACTGAAAATCACAAAAAATGAATCCCTATCTCATTAATTAGCCAAGCAAGTAATCCTCAGTTGAGTCGGCACTGGGTTAAGAAATTTGCAGTTTCATTGAACGCATGAAGTCCAAAATTGAGTCGTCTATGAATATATATATATATATATATATATTAACTTAATTAATTAAGATTCCCTTTAAGGTGCGCAACTGCGCCATTGCGAAGTACAGCCACACCATTTGCGCAGTAGAATCTCATTCTCGCACACTTGTACCATTACGTTTTCAAAGCGTGGCTCGTCATATTTTCCTCGGCCTAGCTGGAATGCTCATTCCATATTTTCGAGTTAAATCTGCACCTCGTTCGCATTTTGATGAAATATTATACTGTTGTAATATTTCGCATAGTGTGTAAATCATTTAAGACTCTGCTCAGCTTAATATATTCATGTTCAGTAAAATAAACATTTGCTCAGAGTAATATTTTTTAGAGGGAACACTGATATTAAGTCTATACAGGGAAAAACTAACAATAGAGTACTGCGTAACAATTGGATCAATAAATTCCAGCATTTCATTTATCTAGCCATCATCATCTTATACAAACGTTATCTACTTGGGCCTATGCAATTTAATCCGCGTTTATACATTGTTTCCATCACTCATATATACGAACATTTGTCTCACAATACACGATACGTGAGATAAAATACTGAACAACCGGTAATCCCCATTTTCGAAAACGGAAATCTTCAAAACATGATTTCTCTTGTTTCATCAGCAATTCCAAATATTTGCTCTTTATAGGCATTTCCAAGAAATGTGCAATATGAATTTCCTTTTTCGATTCCCAGACGCACAAAACTATGCAACCTTGAATTATCTGCGCCAGAAAAATGCCACGAAAATGTAATTCTCCAAACTGTCACCGTCCGCAGACGCAGCTGAATTGAAATTTTCAAGATTAAATGCGATTCATCTAATTTGCAAATATCACAAAAATGAATTGAAATGTTTATAAATTAAATAAACGCATTTTCTAATATTTGTTGCCAATCCAGTCACGTATAGTTGGAGAAAATTGTATTGCTTTTAAACAAAACAAAACAAAAAAAAAATTATCTGACCTGACGAAATCTATCTAAAGTAGTTTGTGAATGAAAAGTGTATTGGGTGAACAAGAGTGTGTATCAACAAGTAAGAGAGTGTCTATTGACTTGTTTTAATCTTTCCTCCTAAAGACTAAGGTCTCAGCTTTCCGACTTGCAATTTCTTTGCCCCCCATTTACCTCGTTTCTATCACTACGTGTCTCATATCTTGAATCGGTGTTCCATAATCTCCGTTCTACCCAATTGTTTATTATGCAGAAATCAATATGTACTGTACAAAAGTTTACTCTATTTCTAAGTACGGACCATGAAGAAGGTTTGAAGATATGATCACAGTTACGCACCCGGAGACAAATTATATGGAATGCACTCCGTTTTTGACAGTTTTATGCGATTTGGAAGTCTTTGTATGCTTTGCTTGGAAATTTTCACTGTTGCATTCAACTTGACTAAGTGATAATTTTTGACTCCAAATTCATACTTACGGTAAGCCATTTCGGTAGCGACTTCCAAATATATGAATACCACAGTCAGACTTTGCAGCTATGTTGAAAACATGCAATCCTATTTTGTTACTTGTATGGCATCATCTCGTGGCAACAGAAATGTCGTCATTTATGATTGTTAACAACGGTCGTTGAAACTAAATATCGGCACCAGATCAGTTAACTCTCTCTCAATACGGTTATAACTGAATGAGACCCAGAATATACATGCTTCAAAGATTCATTGATATAAAACTTTTATGCAATGGATGCCACGTTTCAATAGCGCGCTGCGCAAAATAGTATGAGAACAAAATTGGCAGAAATTACGATTTTTGTGCGATTATATTTTTAGTATATAAATTTATGATGATTGAATCTAAACACAATAGGCTCTATATACTATATTAAATATGCATGGTAATCTATTTAGCTTGAGAGATTCACACCATCCAAACATTTTGGGGTGTATTTCCGCAGAAGATGAGTTATGACCAGAGGAAGAGAGGTGAATTTGGAAAAATTCAATTTACGCCTCAAAACGATCGACTGCACTGGATTTTTGAAGACCACCAATGGAGTACTGCAGAACAATTGGGACAATGAATTTCAGCAATTCATTTTTCAAGTCATCTTCATCTTGTACAATCGTTATCTACTTGGGCCTATGTGAATTAATCCGAGTTTATACATTGTTTCCATCACCCATATATCACAATACTACGTGAGATAAAATACTGAACAACCGGTATTTCCTATTTTCAAAAACGGAAATTTTCAAAATATGATTTCCCCTGTTTTATCAGCAATCACAAATATTTGCTCCTTATAGGCATTTCCAAGAAATGTGGAATATGAATTTCCTGTTTCGATTCCCTGACGCACAAAAATGTGCAAGCTTAAAGAGTTATCTGCGCCAGAAAAGTGTCACGAAAATTTTGCAAACTGTCTCTTCCCGAATTTGAATTTTCAAGATTAATTCTGATATATCTAATGTGCGAATTGCACGGAAATGAGTTGAAATGTTAATAATTTGAATATATGCATTTTCTAATATTTGTTGCCAATCCAGTCACGTATAGTTGGAGAAAACTGTATCGCTCTAATGCAGAACGAAAAACAATTATCCGACTAAATCTATCTAAAGAAGTTCGTGAATGAAAGGTGTATTGGGATAACAAGATTGTGTATCAACAAGTAAGAGAGTGTCTATTGCCGCGTTTCCCAACCTTTTTTGGTCGCGGACTATTTTCTCGCCGGCAAAAACCTTTGCGGACTCAAGGTGCGGTTATTGCAACCGCACTCTGTGTGAAGCAAAGCAATAAAACCAAACACAACTGAATTTCAACAAATTTCACAATCGGAAATTTGTCGCAATTACGCGTTCAATAAAAGAGTCGACTTTTTTAGTGTATGATGGTCTTTTCTGTCGCACAATATTCAATCCATGACAACGACAAGAATTTAAAATGTCTTTCTATTTTGATTTGTGTTTATGGTAACTCGCGGCTGCGTCGACATACGAAAAGATGAAAGCATTGCTTCTTTAAAATGCCACGGCAATCTGCAAACATAATAATGTAAGAATATATTGCCCGATTATATTTTTTGCGATCTTGCGAATTTGTTATCGCCGTTAGAAAAATCCTGCTATCTGCGATAAATTTCAAGAAAGTACAACTTGATTTAGTACTTATTAAAAATATATTTAAAAGTATATTAGTATATCAAAAACTGTTGACAAAATAAAAGCAATACTACTCAGAAAAAATCATGACAATCCGTGGACACAAAAATGCTTAGTAAAGAGCCCGGTTAAATTTTGTTTTGATTCGTATTTTATGAATTCGACAAATCTGAGCTGCTCGTAGAACACTTACGGCGCACCCTCCAGTACTGTATACGTACCAATGTGGAGGCAAAACGTATGGTGTCGTTGTATTTTTAATATTTTGTATTGCCTCATTTCAATTTAGAAAATTTGGTTTGCCACCATCGACGCCTACCAGATTTTTTATTTTATAACTCCTTGCTCGAACACTACTTAGGTATCTATCGACGTGTGTGCCGACACGTGTTTACTTCGAAAATCCGCAAATGAGGTACTGTGAAATCCAATCGTTCGATTAGGCGACACGCAAGTGACCTGTCGAGTCAGCTGTTACACAAATTTTCAAATTGTAAATTGCTGTTCTAATAGTTGAATATTCGAATATATGACCAGCCCTACTCAGTAACCAGTAATTGTTGTTGATAGGTATTTGTCTGTTTGTCTGTCTGTTAGATGCACGCGATATCTAACGAAGGCGTGGTTGAATCTGCTCCAAATTTTGCATGTACATTCATCATATCTCATACCAGAAGCCTATTGATTTTGGATGAATTATGTCGTATAATTAGCGAGTTATGAATTAATTAGTGATGAGACACGCGGTGTCTCCATAGAGTCATGAATAGAAACCGCATTTTCGATCGATAAGTCTTCGGTTTCCGACCGATATTCTCGTCATTTACTCCATTAATGTTATGTGAATAAACTTGCTTTTTATGTTTCATGTAAATTCTAACGTAAATCGTAACTTGGCTGATAGTTAAGGTACGCAAAAACGTTTCAGGCCCGCAGTGAATTTCTGACTCGTTGCGGTCTCATTCAAACGCTTCGCGGACTCGTTTGAGACCGCGGACTCGGGTTGGGAAACACTGGTCTATTGACTTGTTTGCATCTTTCCTTCTAAAAATTGGGGTCTCAGCTTTCTGACTAGCAATTTCTTTGTCCTTCCCCCCTCATTTACCTCGTTTCTATCACTACGTGTCACATATCTGGAATTGGTGTTCCATAATCTCAGTTTTATCCAATTGATTTTTATGGGGAAATCAATATGTACTGTACGAAAGTTTACTTGATTTCTAAGTACGGACCATAAAAAGGATTTGAAGATATGATCACAGTTATGCAGCCGGACAGGTCGTTTTTGACAGTTTTATGCGATTGGGAAGTCTTTATGTGCTTCGCTTGGAAATTTACACTGCGACATTCAACTTGACCAAGTGATAATTTTTGACTCCAAATTCATACTTTTGGTAGCGACTTCCAAATATATGAATACCACAGTCAGACACAGCTATGTTAATAACATGAAATCGTATTTTGTTACTTGTATGGCATCATCTCGTGGTAACAGAAATGTCGACATTTATGTTTGTTAACAACGGTCGTTGAAACTAAATATTGGCACCAGATTAGTTAACTCTCATGGTAACATATGGTTTTGTATTCCTGTATATATATATAACTGAATGAGATCCAGAATAAACATGCTTCAAAGATTCATCGAAATAAAACTTCTATGCGATGAATGCCACATTTCAATAGCTCACTGCAGAAAATAGTGTGAAAACAAAATTGACAGAAATTTCGATATTTGTGATTATATTCTTAGTATATACTTTTATGATGATTGAATCTAAACACAATATGCTCTTTATACTATATTAAATATACATGGCGATCTATTTAGCTTGAGAGTTTTACACCAGCCATTTTGGTGTGTATTTCCGCAGAAGGTGAGTGGAAGGGAGGAAGAGAGGGAAATTTGGTAAGATTCAATTTATGCCTCAAAATGATCGACTGCACTGGATATTTTAATTATCTCTCGAAGTTTTCTCACACCAATATCTCCCGCCAGGAATTGATAGAATATTTCTGGACATTGATACTTGATATCACTGAGGAATCGCATCTCCTTGGCAGTGAGTTGATCGAAGCAGTATCTGAAAAACAAAATAATTTCATGAGTTGGCATTGCGATTGGACAATCTATATTTAACGCCAATGGCTTCAATATCAGGCTATTCCCGTGTGTTCAAATAGCTGATATATAAAATGTGCTGCAAATTATAGACGTTTATTTCGACCAATTTAAAGAATACTTTAACACAATAGCATCGAAAATAGTCGATCAAAATCGATGACTAACTGCAAATATTTTACCTGGCAGAGCATGGGAATTCAAATCAAATACTACCCCCTCGCTTTCGTGGACAACAACTCGACGGGGTATATTTTGAATTATTTTCAAAACTTGTTCAAAGCCGAATGTCACAAATGCACACTGAAAACGATTCAATTATTTTAAATCAATAATTAAAGAGGTACGCAATTGGTGTGACTATACTTTTTCAAACATTAGTAACCAAATTACCCAAGTGATGAAGTGAAGCCTTGTTTTGAGCATATTATAGGTCAGCGCTCAGTAGTTCAAGTTGGATCGAACTTCAGTTGTCTAATTCCATGCAGCACTTTGTATTTAGAAAATATACAGGACAGCATTCTTCAAAACTAAAAAACCCTACTCACGAATCAATGTCATATTCATTCATCCACGCAGTAACCGCTTCATCTCCATCTTGTTCTGTCGTTGATTTATCATTTTGATTTTTGTTTTTGTCAGGAGATAATGTGCCATTACTTGTGTTGTTGTCTGTAGTATTCTCATTTTTACTCTAAATATTGAATATTATGAGTTTTAATAAATATAATCATAATAGTTTAAACATTGATAATAGTTTTGAGAAAACAGTGTTCATTTGAATTATTCATTTGAACAATGTTCATTTGAAATTTTTTGTCAGGCGATAATGTGCTATTGCTTATTTACTCTAAATATTGATTATTGTGAGTTTTGATACATATAATTATAATAGCTAAAATATAAACCATAGTTTTGTAAGAGTTCAAATCTGATGAAGGATTAAAAAAATGCCCAATGCTTTTGTACCGGAGTAATTGACTTACCGAAAATATGTCAGTGCCTTCTATTTCCTTGACTAATGCATCTACCTTTCCATCAAACGTTTCTCCTTCAAATGAATCCAAACTACTGAAGTCTATATATAACTTTGTACCAGTCAAGGCTCCTAAAAATTATATTATATTTCATCACAGTGAAATTATATGGCAATAGTTGGGTCAATTTACTGGTTGGCATGTTTTGTTACTTGTCATGCAGTGTTTCAATGATGTATTGAAAATATTGTATTAGATACAATAATAAAGGGTAAGATTCATGATTTCAGAAAAGTTTGTATTCCGCTCATATTTAAAATAGTTTATAAATAGTTTGAATGAGTGAATGGAATAAAAATAATACCAATGGTTAATCATGATAAAATAGAAGGATAAATTACCGAGCCAACCATCGGCTTTATAATCTTGTTCCGCTTTTATCGGAATTATTTCTTTTCGTAGGTTGAAAGCATATTCAGCCTCTGTTCTGCAGTTTGGACTGTCTTTGTACTTCTGTGTCATGCATACCAAAACGATTGCTGCATTTTCTACCGCCTCTGCCATAGCCTAAAATAGTGTGTGTGAAAATAATAATGCTACTAATGCTATTGAACATTAATTATAATTATATATATTTTTTAGTATTAAACGACGTGCAGTCATCATCACGAGATAAGTCTTTTACAACAAGTCTAGTATAACGAATCTTGTCTGCTAAAGTTATATTTAAATGCTTCATTCGTTTGAATATTTTATGTCTCGTAACTGATGAAGAGAGGGCCAACTAAATGTCATTTCCGTAAGCAGTGAAGGTTACCCAATTTGGGTTATAGCACGAGTCGGTCCGAGTTTTGATCCTGTGGATTTGGAGCGAGTCAAATGAGTTTGCCTACATACATACATGAGTCTAAACTAGTCTATTATTCTAGAATCTAGAACCTGAAACATATAAAAGTAAATGAAATGTTGAAACCGAAACAACCAAGTTCAAATTTGTTACCTCTAAGATCGATCCATTCAAATCATGAATATCCATCCAAACATTGTAACCGTGTTTTGTTAGTTCTTCATATACCTGATAGAAACGAGAATGAGTTATAAAGAGTGAAGGTAAAATAGACTTATACGTAATGACTGATAACGTACATTTGTATAATATGCACATGGATTTCCCTAAACCTATAGGGAAATAACACCCCCGTCCCCACACACTTTAAATTTGAAACCCCCCGCTAAGTTTGAGGTGTGACACCATATTTAGATTCCCAGTATAAATGATTTGTTGTGAATTTGATTTGTATTTGTTTGCCAACAGCAAAATATCTAGCAATTCCCCTGAATTCAATGACACCCACCCTAAAATGAAATGAGCATACTAATCATGTAAGTTGGTGATGAAAGCAAGTTTGATAAAATAGCCATAAGAAATATATACTTTGTAGTAATAAAAAAAATGCCAAGTTGGCTGAATTTGATAAGATGGTGCCATTTTTAAGTCGAATAGTAGTTGAAAGTAAAATTACCATAGAAATTATAAATTTCAGTTATTTCATCGTAGAAATTTTTTGAAATTTCAAGACCATTACAACAATACTGAACTATTCCACTGGTTTTTGAAAATCGAACAAAATACTGTAATATTCACGTGTCATATACGAAAAAAGACGTATAATATTTGTTTGGAAGAATCAACAAAACCTGCAAATATGAACTAATCAGCAGGAATTTTCATCACCACTATGACCACTTCCTCATTAGTTAGTGTATTCGCTTTTAGGATTTTGCGCTCCGCGTAAGGGAACATTGTACACGTCTGCAGTTTTACAGAATACAATATCATATATTCCCGAATGTATATATATTTTTTCCATCATATTAAAATTTTAATTAAATAAACGCTAAAAATTGTTTTGTTAATGCTATAATAAACTCAACTCATTTTTATGGATGCGTTTACCTGATTCATTAGGGTTTGACTGCTCCACTGGTAACTAATCATAATGTGTTTTTTCATTTCTCGTTTTTTCTCGACGGGAAGTTTCTTTTCCCCGAGCACCCAGAGAATTCCGAGCGCAGTTTCTGCGACGGATCTTTAAAAAAATATATTTCATTTCCAGTACAGTAAAGATTCACAATAATAAATAATTAGATAATTCAAATAAAGATATTTTGACCAAATAGTGCTGCGTGAATACAATCGGCAAGTAATGGAAAGCCAAACTTTACCATTCCTATAGCCAGATAATCCGTCAAAGTATCAAAAAAAGAATATTGAAAATATTGTTCACATTCTACGAGTTTATTATTTGTATATAATACCCTTCTTCTTTGCTAACTTCCTTTAAAAAATTCATTGCGCTTTCATCTTTCAAGATTTTTTGTTTGACTTCATCTTGAAATGACAACATCCAAATAGTTTCACCAGCTATTTCCTGTTCATCCTCATTTCCTATGATAATTCAAAGAAAACAAAAATGTACTAAAAGTAAAACGGAAAGTATTTTATATTTAGAAGAAAGTGTTTTACAAAAAAAGTTGCTGAAAGCGAAGCTCTGAGCACTCACTGAGAAGCCGAGAAGAATGATCTTTGAGCGTAGTTAAGAGTGGCTTTTGAAGTGCCAAGATCTATTGAGACTATAAACGAGAATATCGGTCAGAGACCGAAGACTTATCGATCGAAGTTAATGGATCCCCAAAACAGCGCTCTTACTTCATAGTGACACCTTGTGTCCCATCACTAATTAATTGATAACTCGTTAATTATGTGACATAATTCGCGCAAAATCAATAGGCTTCTTGTCCGAGATATGATAAATGCACATGCAAAATCTGGAGCAGATTCAATCTCGCTTTCGTGAAATATTGCGTGCATCTAACAGGAAGACAGACAAATACCTATCAACATACTTACCGATTAAAATCGATAAGTAATGATTATAACGGTCAATTGCGCGTTACTAGATGGCAATTTACGCAAGACTTAAAGCTGTTTAGAATTAGATCAAAGCGGAGGGGGCATTCAGATGAACACAACCCATTAAAATATATGCGAAAGGAGCACCGTACCGAGTAATTAAGTTCAGTTTTTTTGCTCTTATTTTTAATAAATTTACCTTTAATTTCGTATTTTTTGTGGTTATTTTTTGAAGCTTATGTAATTTTTTTTATAACTGAAAACTATATAAATAAAGTCAGTAGTGTCATTCAAAATTTTAACCAAAAACAAATGCTAAATTTATGGATGGAATGTGTGAATGTGCAATAATTGTCAAGAGAGGCTAAGTCATACAAAATTGGTGATTTCAGTATTGCCACTATTATCAAAGATAGCTGATCATTCAATGTAGGGTAAACATCGATTTACGACGTTTGAATTGATATTATTGCTACGATATACTACAGAATACATGAATTAAATTCAGATTAATATATAAAAACGTAACAAATTCTTGCCATATGAAAACAGTTACCTTTCACAAACATCTGAAGAAGAGGTGGCAATAAGTCCTTCTTCATTATAATTTTGGTATTATCAGCATTATTTGCCAAGTTTTTCAGTCCAACAGTTAATTCATACGCAGTCCATCCATCTACTTTATGATTTGTGCTTGCTACTGCTTTTTCTAATTGCTGTTTATTAACATGCATTATCATATATATATATATATATATATAATTTCAAATAGCAATACAATTTGAAAGTATAGTCAAATAGTTTTACCGATGTTATCATGTCAATTATAGAAGCATCTGCCGAAATAAGAGCTGCATTCTCTTCGTCAACGATATAAGATAGAGTCAAAATTGCAATCATGTTGATCTGCAACAATAAATCATCTAAGTATGGTTTGCAAATTCAGGATTTCATTTGGGAGTACGCTATTCGGGGCTTCCCAAACTAGGGGCCGCGGCCCTGGAAGGGGCCGCGAAACGAATTCCAGGGGCCGCAAAGAGAACACAAATTTTACACAAATTTCATATCAATTGTGCTTTTTCAGACTCTTGATGCGAAATACAATTATTGAAAATAGTGTAAAACAAAAATGTCACGATTTTGAGTGAATACATGATCATAATAGCCTACCGTGTTTCCCCAAAATAAGACAGTGTCTTCAATTTTCTTTCGAAAATAACACTAGGGCTTAATTTTGGGATAGAGAATACCGAGATTTCTTATTATACAAAATATGTATACCGATTTCCATTTGCTTATAAATAGCACGTTTTTATTTAAAATAACTACTACGTATAGATTAATTATTAACCATTTAAAAAGTAGGAAAGATTTCTTGCTATCGACTGGGACTCAGTGGTTCTCGAACTTCATTGTATTGTGAAGTCCTCCAAAAACATGCTCAAGTTGCAACTCCCCGTGAAAATACGTATTGATCATATAAACAAACAAAACTTAACAACAGTCAGTGAAATCGCATTTAATGGGCCTTGGTAGAAAGACTGCTTTATATAAATACCAAAGGAAATTTTCTGTAACAGTTGCAAAATTGAACGACGCACTTCCACGGGATTATGTAAAAACAATAGTTGCGATATCCACTAAGTCTTTTTTAAAGGCGAGCGCCTATATTAACATCCTTTTTAAAATTCAGGCTTGGTCTTATCTTCGGGGAAACACGGTAGAATGATGGCGCTTGCATAACAATGCATATTCTGATCGTGAAACCCGATTTGCGGTTTGCATAACAATGACGGCTTTAATCGTTAAGCTAGCGGTTTCCGACGGCAATTTGCTGAGTGCGCCTCGAAACAAATCACATATTATATTTATTCTAAATGTTTTATTGTTTCTCATTGTTGCAAATGATGTGTATACAAGTATGAATCAAATTCATTTTACCATTTTATGTTGTTTACTTTCTGTTACGTAGGGTCTATTGTTACGTAAGATAAGAGGTAAACCCTGCCTACAAGTTGCAATTTCGTAGGCTGCAGTTTATTCATTTGCTGAACCCAGAATATCAAACAGTGATTTTTTTTAGCATTTAAAAATAAAATCTGGCAGAGATAAGAAAGAAACGTTAACCTTTTGCCTTTATTCATTAGGCCTACATGTTTAAAAACATCAAACGACATAAAGTACATATTAACGATGACAAAATTGTGTTTTGTTTTGAGGCAGCATATTTTTCGTGTAGGTGCGCCATGAGTTTTTTTCCCTGATAATTTGGCGTAGCACAAACCGCTGCCTTATGCTAAGTTTGATCTATAAAATGAACATTTCGAGATATGGACCATGTCGTCGGTGGTCAGACATCATAACTCATCATTTAGGCCTGCATAAACATACATTGAGGCAAGGGTGGACTTGCTATGCAACAAAAAGCATTCGCACCCATTACACTAAATAATTGAGTAACGATAATCTGAATAAATATGTGCTTGTTTTCGTTATTTGGTAGATGTATAATAATAGTTTAGAATTAGCTGTGCCAATAAAACATCAAAAATGCATATTTCGGACTGTTTAGCATTATTAACGTGGATAAGGGCCGCGAAAAATTTTAATATATCAAAAGGGGCCGCGAGCTCAAAAGTTTGGGAAGCCCTGCGCTATATGATATATTTCGTATTATGCATGGCGTGACGTCATAGTGACAATCCGTGACACTATGGGTCGATAACGTCACCTAGCGTAATACTTAATATATATATCACATAGTTTGGATTCAAAAACAGATTAAGAAGCTCAGAGATGTAATGAAACGTCATCGTGCCAGAAAACGGGACGTCACAACACTTATTTCTGGTCGCCATACGGATCGCTAGTGCTTGCAAATATACACAAAATATAAATGGGGTAACCCAACGAGTCATTTTCTCAATACCTCTTCCAAATCAAAAATATTGCGTGCAACATTTTTTCCGCAAAGAAAGTAACAACAACTTTGCTAGAAGCTATTTTATTTCGCTGAACGTTAAGTTATTCGCCAACTTAAAAGCGTAACAAGTTTAGAATCAAAGACTTTAGTATCTTTTCATGAACTACTAGGGTGCTGGATATCAAATTTCAATGTTTTGTGGCTGCAGACGGTCACGTAACAAAGACATTACAACGACACCCGTGTTAGAGAACGGAAGTCGGCGGTCAAGTAAGCCAGATTATAATCAAGGCCAGCTACGCCAGTATTTGCTTTTTGATTTAGGCTGGAAAACAAAAATATTTACCATTGGGCTTTCTTGTTTCGAATAGAACAATAGAGTTTCAGTAGATTTTGAGCTTCGGAATAACTTTTTATTCCCGGTGGTTGCACAGTTGTACAAAATTGCTAAACGACTGACAATACTTTCTGACTTAAGTTCCTGTAAAATCACAAAGTAATACACATATCAATCGACAAATATTTCTACAGAAACAAAAGTAACAAAACTGCATGAATAATATAGAATATTGCTATTTTTCACAATCAAAATACAACATACTTACTTGACTTGTAATATCTTCTCTTAAAGAAGACGTCAGAACAGCAATCATTCCAACTCGGCCGAGTTCTTCACCAATGTTTCGACTTGCATGAGAGTAGTTCCAACATACGCGCAGTAGCAAGTTTATATCGCTGGAAATCACATGTAATAAAACACAATTCAAATTCTTGCTTACGAAAGCAGATTAACAAATTGCAACGGTGCTTATCTGGTGATTTAATAATATACATGGAAGGCGTATCAAAAACAAAAGGGTGTGTTGTCTAATTTTAAGAAAGTTTAACAATACGGCTAATGAGTAAACTTTGGTCGTTGGATTATATATACACTTACTCAGAAGCTTTATCCAAAGTTGTCATTGATTTCTTGAATACCACGCCGACGTGATATTTTGCCAAAGCATCCCCAAGCATAGTTTTAAACTCCTGAATGCGAAAGTAAGGAACATGTTATAACTGGAGAAACTTTGTTGGAAATTCTGTTATCGGAAACTAGTATAACCTGGGCTAATTTCTTGTTATGATAAAAATTCAGACACATAAAAATTCATCATAAAGAAGATAGTATATTTTTGTTCATGAAGATTGTATATAATTTTTTTTTTCAATTGATGATATGATGTAGCCACGAAAATTGAATTAAAAATAATAAATTCAATTAAAAGGTGTAATATATCACTTTTTGACAACGTATACGATCAATGCTACATCATAGATCATTTTCATACTAATTTATCAATATTTGTTGGCAGACATAATGCGTCAAATACGTGCAGTACAAAACAAGTCGCAGACTTAATGATTTCTTTGAACATGTCGTTGCATAAGTGGATATAATTAGTTTTTGTCATCGTCTTTATCGATAACATTTTCTGTGAATTGATTATACAATACATAGTTTATAACTATTTGAATGTTGTTAATTTTCCCAAAAGCAGTCCACCAATTTTCCCAAAGTGTAGCAAATTATATATCATTTTGGCAGTATTCTCCCGCTAATCCAAGTCTTCTAAGAGCTGTTTAGTCTAGATTTAGAAAGTGAAAATATTCGAAAACGCTTAACAAATAAACTACTGAAAAGGGCAAAACTAGCACGTAATTTGCAAATAAAAAAACATGGTTGGGTTTACTCACCTCTCCCTTGACGGCATGGTATAAATCGTCAAGTTGTTTAAGTGATTCTGGTTTGACCAATTGCGATCTACTGATTTGTTTTGCAACGTTTTTCAATTGCTGCAATGCATCTATGAATAACGATAGTAATCGTAAAACAGTGAACATGTTTTCAAGTATTCGATTTTCTTGTGCTCAATGTGAGAATAAACATTGCAAATAAATTAAATTTTTGCTTTTTTGAAAAACCATAGCCTAATAGTCAGCTATTTTGATTTTGAAAAATACTTTTTCAAATTATATTGTTGGTGCTGGGTGTTTTGTAAGTTATGATCGCAGGATGTTTTCAAAATTTTGTGTGATTCAAATACACAACCTAGTACTTAGATTAAAGTGATGTATTGAAAAGCCGATATTTAAAAACAAATAGTTTATCAGACAGTATAACCAACCTTCCAACTTCATATCACTTCCCATGATAGTCAACTAAAACTAAATAATCTGTAAAAACTAGAAGCTGCGAAAAACAATGATATTTAAAAAAATTTTTTTTTTGTCTGAGTGGCAGGCAGAGGAGAGCCCGTCCTCTCACTGGACTGTGGATTTAGATTCGCCCGTATACTAGCAAATATGATAGTATATATATATATCTTATCTTTTTTGTAAACTGTTTTGGAAAATACTCCAATAAACAGTTCCTACATCAATCATATCAGTCAATCTCGTGGTGTGTCACTGTTCTATCAAGTAAACCGAACTTAAATTACATGCACGGGAATAATAATCTCAGTCTCTCTCCACTGTCGTACATTTCAATTTGAATTATGGGAGCTCGCCATGATTCTAAACATTCAATGGTGGAGACATGTGGGAAAACATGTGCAACCCGACAACATTATTTTATTAGGGCAAACAGAATGAGTCCTCAAATAACGATTAAACAGGAGTTAACTTTAAGTTAAAATATACAATCGTGGCTTGCAAGCAATTTTATCAACCGTCATACATACGACCCATAAATACGTGAATATAAAATTTTGCTACTCATTTTCTACAAATAGAGTAACAACTGCTAAACTTAGACGTATGTATGTATATTTTGATTGCGTTTGATACGTTTCTTCTACTATTTGCTATACATTCACAGAATTAGTTGTTAAGAGAAATTATTAAATGAGTTCCGAGCTATACGGGAAACCAAATTCCAATATTTAGATTTAGGAAGTTCGTAGTTTTTTTAAGCTGCCTCTCATTATAAACGAACTAAAAATGAATCACTTTAAAATACATTATACGTAACGCTATGCAGCTAAAAGGCAGGAAACTGGAACACATACCAATAAGCCAATATGGAAGCGATTTATATCGCTGACACAGAAATAGGTCATTAACCCATTTTTAAAAATAATCTCTTCTAAGAACTAACAATCTATCACTGAATTTAATGGTATATTTAGGTCTTCCTTCGCTGTTTGATTGATCACGACGACAGCCAGGCAAGATTAGTCACCACATATTGCCAAGCTATCAGTCTCATTCCAGTAAATGTTCAAACAATTGTTGTTACTATTAGGCTAGAGGTAATAAGCAATGATTTGAAACAAATAAGGCGTGCAAAGTTTCGTACATTAGAAAATTTAAATTGCTAATGAATAAACGGGCTGAAATAAGATATTGCATGGAAAAACCTCAGTCTTCTTTTTCCGTTTTCTTCGTGCTTCCTATCCAAAATATCGGATATGCACAAAGTACCGCAATATACCTGAACGAGACATTATTTAGAACGATGAACAAGAATGACCTTTGTACAAAATAGTTAGTTAATTGTATGAAACACACGTAACATTGTTTCATGTTCTTGCAAAATACGCCTGAGGAAGTTTCCATTATTTTAATTGTCTTGAATACCTCGACAAAACTGTATGCTCGACAACTCGTTCTGTCGAGCATACAATTTGAAGTGATTTCTGGTATTCACTGGCGACATCGTTGAAAAATCACAATAATATCTTGTCTTTTGCATAATTTTGACAAGTCGTTTGTGAACAGGGCTTGGAGAAACACTATGAAATGGGCATGTTGAGCTAAAATGTCCTTGAATTATTCAAATATTCACTAGAATCTGTGCTCTAACTTCTAACACTCAAGAAAACGTACACGCGTGCTAAAACATTTGGCCAGTTAATAAATAACTAAGGAAGAATTTTAATCAAATACAGTAGAATTTACGTACGTGGTGGGCCAATTGCTAGCATGGGCGGAAATGTGCTTTTGGTATTTCAAAGAAATTTCATAGCTCATAGTTCGAATAAAATTCAGGAACATCACTAGTACCTTTTTCATATACAATCTTCTTCATATCTAACATTGAACCGCTTCCTTACCTTGTATACAAGTATTTTGTGTCTATTAGATACTGACTTTACAACAATTAATAGCAAAGGCTTATTCCATAATTCTGTCAATCCTAGCAATATATTATAAGATTATTTATTAAAAATTTATCATCGCTGTTTGTTACTGAACTGATAGCTGAATATGACACAGTTGTGCCTACCAGACGGTGAAAATACAATTGTTCATTACAACACTTTAGTGTTAATTGACAGCAATTCACACCTTGTTGAAAATAAAAAATAAGAAGAAGTAGCAAGGTCACCATACTGCTTTATGACAAATAATTGTGAATCAAGCTCGGCGCTCTGTTCATTTAGGATACATGTTGAGTTATTCATAAAGAAAACCTAATTCATACCTTGCAACTATGTGCTTATGTATAATTTTTTTTTTATAACTATAAGTTTACCTGTAACGGTGTGTGTGTGTGTGTGTGTGTGTAAACCGTGTAGACTATATCTGGTATGTGATAAATACTAACGAATGTAAACTGTGAAGACTATGTCTGGTATGGGATGATTACTAACGAATGTATTATAATATTAATGTATGCATGAAAATAGTGTTACAAGAGCTTATCTTTACACGTAATGGTAAGATGGTTATTATTTTGCAGTTGATGAAATATTTAACAGTAAAAAATTCGCTCATAAATACCACTTTGTATAGTTGAATGGAGTAATTCTCCTTCATATCCAACTTTTAATTCATTCATCTTTAACCGTTTGTAGTTGATAATTCTAATATTTCCAAATTTTTACAATCAAAATGGGAGGGCATGTTTTAGGGAGATTAATTTGCGGATAACATTCTCGTAATATTACAATCACATGTAGTTAAGGTAAAACAAGAGAGCAGTATTAAAATAGAATCAAGTAGTATCAAATCTTTTACAGTATGGCCAGTTTGGTCTGACCACCATATCGCTGAAATTCCATCGGGGAACCATCAGAAAGTTCGCAATATTTTATTTTGATGATGTCATTCATTATACATAACTTCAAAATGAAAAACGAATCTCATATGGACCACAGAAATTAAAATGGATAAAGGTAATACCCCTCTAGCGACAACAATCTTTAGATACTAAAAATTTTAAAGCAATTGAACCAGTAAGAAAAGCTATTTTTTTCACAATCACAATAACAACAAAAATTCAACGAAGCGATATAAGGGTATATTTCGTGTTTAAAAGTATTGTGTATTGTTGTATTGTAAAAATATCTCATATTGTCAACGAATCAATTAATATATTATCAAATGAATATTTACGAAAAAAAATAAAACCTAAAATCTTACTTTTATGAGAAAAGGAGAAAAGACGTAGGCCTACAGTCTAAGGAGAAAACAATATGATTGCTTTTCTGTGCCATATTGATTCGACCTGCTTCAAGTGTCGGGACAATCAGAATTTAGTATGGATGTTCCCCATTTCCTTGTTTATAGGTAACAATAACAAATAAGCAATAGGTTAACAATAACGTATCAAATGTAACTTATGCCGACACACAGACACTTCTTTCGCTCAGACCAATGTCATTGCTCCGACAGAAATTCAAACGTGATTGTGGACACTGCTTTTTTAGTACTATTTGTTGTTTTTCAGTTTTACGTTGTGTTTCCAAAAATTAGTTATAAATCAAATAACTTTATTGTCATTATAACTTCCGAGGATCTTTAGTTCAGTTGCAATAATCGAAAATTGATACCGCAAACGCTGCGATAGGCTTGCCTAATATTAGCTAACAGTATCTGTAAGCGGCACGTGATTTATTGTTTTGAATAAAAATGATAGTTTTGAATATGGAAAATTTTTTGCAAGGGTAAAGTATAGGGATAATCTTTCTGTGGTCTAGGGTCGGGGAAACGTTCATAGCGTAATGCTTTACTGTAGTTTGATATAATTCAGTAGCTTTTGCCAATTAGTGGTCGCCCGTAACTTTGCTCAGAGTTGAGTTGAGTGTCTGTTACATTTAAGTAAATGTGCATGGTTTATCTTCGGTCATATACTTAAAAAATATGCTGCTGCGACATCCTCGCGTCATCGTCATATTTTTTGAAATGTTCATTTTTAAATGGGAACATTTATATTTTACGCGTAGAATATGTTGGCTGCGCGATAGATAGGTCTGCAGGTAGATAAATAAATAGATTCAGAAATTCGATTCTTTTTGTGTTTTTTACGATAGCGATTGTATTCCACAACTACTGAACTACCGAGTCCCGTGGATTTGAAGCTTTAATAAAATGGCTAACGCGTCTATGGAAACGGTCCCGAAAAGCTTAAGAAATCTGAGGGCTTGTCTTCTCTGTTCATTGATTAAAGTAAGTTCTGAAGTTATCATACTACCATACCGTACCGGTACTTTGTTCTGGAGTAACTGATGTTCCTGTATTCAGATATGTTTACATTTCAGCATTTTTGTTTACTTACGTCTGTACGTTGCGGTACTGCTCCCATGCCTGAATGGGGTTTTCTGAAGTAGACTACGCGCCATCAAGTGCCGTACTTCTAGTGGGCGTAGCATAACGATTTTATTAATATAATATTCCTAACCCCCACCTGAGTACGTCACCCAAAAATTACATCAATGCGACGTCACAATCGCGTCATAGAGCTTGCTAAAGTCTAGCTACGATTGTTCGAAATGGCATCTGTGCCGACTATAACTGTATAATGAACTCACTAACGTCTGAACGTCAGCGATCTCTCTTTTATCGGTATCGTTTCAACGAAAAAAAAGCTTGCTCGATTTGGAATGATTGTCTGCGCGAACATGCGTATTCTTTAAGGGCCCGTATTACGTCACTGGACTTTGCAGTGATGTAATTTTCGGATGACGTAGTCAGGTGGGAGTTAAGAATGCCATATGCAAAAATTGTTGAGCCAGGCCATATAGAAGTATGTGCGGAGTGTACTTCAGGAGAACCCCTGAATGCTCTGTACTGATTAATCTGTATTAATATGTATTAGGCCACATATCATTTCATATTTTGCATTGCCAGGCCCATTCCTTATTTGGGGTATCCTCAAAATTCATTAGGACTGTACCGTACATCTATATTCTGATATTCATGGCTAAAGTATAGCTTTTTCTTCTCAAGACTATAGACCAGTTTGAATATGATGGTTGCGATAACTGCGATGAATATCTTCATATGAGAGGAAATCGAGATATGGTTTATGATTGCACAAGTTCTTCATTTGATGGGTAAGCTAGTTAGGCGTGTTTTCTATGACTTTGTGTCTGCATTATCTTTATAGATTTGGTTCATGGTCAAGGAGTTCTTTTTTAAACAAAGTTGGGGAAGGTCATCTTTAATTAAAAGACCATCTTTGCCTGTTCCTATTTTTAACTTACTGACATAAGCTATCAAACTTGAGGTTTACTCTTTATGGAGTGTTATGCATATGCCGGTGTGGCCTTATTGGATCACTTTTGTGTTTCAATTTTATGTCGGATGTAGGCACTAAGATGGTATCATTGCTGATAACCGTTAATTGGAGATTAGGTTAGTCTTATTTATAGAAAATGCCACACAAATCTTCAAACATTTAAAAGCTTGACATTACCTCTCAAAAACTATATTTATATTCATAAATTGTGGAAAGTTTTATCAAATAGCATGTGGAATTAATTATTAGGAAAAATATTGAAAACTATATAGGAAAATATTAATAAATTCTTTCGAAACGCCATTGTCATGGACTACAATAAATACTGAATAGATACTTCATGTTAAATTTGGTTCCATATTTTCATTTATATAATTACCAGTCAACATAAAACAACTACGAGACCTTGCTATCATTGTTTATGATACTTTGTTTTATTCAGAATAATTTCGTTAATGAGCCCAGAGGATAGTTGGGTTGCTAAATGGCAAAGAACAAGTGAGTGAATATTTGTCTCATCTTTGAATTGTCGGCATGTTAGCTATTATTTTCACAATGCATTTTATGCAAATGTCTTACTATAGGTATAGTTCATACAAAGAACAAATAATTTTTGCTTTTATCGGTTTTATAGATAACATGTGAATTTTTAGTAACAAATCATTTATTGATGGAACACTGCTTACGCGTGTTAACCCTTTCCATGCGATTTTTATTTTTTATTAAATAATCGTATTTGCTACGCCGACTTTATGCATTTGTACCCCCACAACTAATCGATCGACTAACGAAAAAGTAATGATCCTCTGCTGCCCACTGACGGCTCGTTGGAAAGCTTATTTAAAGAGCTTGCAATTGGCGATTGAAAAATTTTATTTTTTTCAAAAGGGGTGGTCTGAGTCACAAACAGGATAGAAAAAAGACATTTTTTTTCTTGGGTGTTGAAACTTCAAGCCGTGATAAAAAATAGAAATATTCGCTAAATCCTTTACTGTTACCGCTTCTTGGTTGGCAAACAATAGCATAATATTACTGTAGCAATTTCGTTATCTAACTCAAAATACTTTGGTAGATGGAAGGGATAATATGTCTTCTATTACCACCCAAAAAACACCGAAATTTGCATAAATCAAAAACACTCCCTCGTTCCGCCGCAAATAAAACTCCCATGGTAAACGAAAGCGAGATTTACCGTCGCTTATGTTAATCTCGAAGAAGGCTTCTTATCAATAAACTAAAACCCGGAAAAACTAGACCAACAGTTTGCGACCGATTGCTAAATAAAACAGTGGAGTACATCAACGTACCCGCCGCAAACTAGCGAGTTTTGTCGTGGGTACGTATACGTGCCCACCGCACGGAAAGGGTTAAGGAGTAAGATGTTCACTTCGTTTTAGTCGAAATTCAAGTATTGTGAATCGCTGAAATCACACATTTATGCTTATCACTAGAGATTGTTAGAAGTCATTTTGGATCTCAATTAACTGTGAGCCTAGTTTCACTATGAATGGTTTTGTTTTCAGAAAATTTCAAACCCGGATGCTATGCCATATCCGTCACGGGTCGACTTCCTGCAAGTATTATAAGAGATTTGAAAGCAACATCTGGAGTTGTTTACAGGTCAAGAGACACAAGTCAGAAGTCATCAAGTTGATGATTAGTTAAAAATGTGTGTTGCTCCCTACTTACTGGTGAGGGCCGCTATCTGGTTTAATGCGATGCGAATTTCAAAACAAAAATTGTCATCTTATCAACTGCAATGTATATAATATCACAGAAGATATGCAATTGAAAGTGTGTGTTCACTTGCTGAAATTTTCGCTTCATGATGTAGTGCAGGATTTTCAACCATTGTTCTCTCTTCGCAAATTTCAGAAGTGAAATTAACTTCTTCAATAATAACATACTATTCCAGCAATATTATGTGATCCTAATAGCCACTTCAGTGCTTGTAAAACTTACCCCCAATTAGAGAACATGATATTAGAGGTGTACCAATACCACTTTTGTCACCGATACCAGCTAAAAAGGCCGATATCGATACACGGATATTCGAAAACGACCGATATTCCGATACTATTTGATTATTACCTAAGTGTGCAGGACAGGCGGTTTAAAATAATATATATATATTATTAAGAAGTAGATGTTTGGGATCCAAATGCGTTAATTGATTCAGATGCATTGAGCACTGGCGCTAGTAATCTCTGTGTTCAATTAGAAAACTAATGGGATTTGGCTACTGTTGGTGGTAAACTAAATAAATGTTTAGCCTACTTATCATATGAAACTGATACATTGAGGTACGTGTGCAGGATTTTGGGCCAATATAACGTCGTATTTTATATTTTACTAGAGACCGGCCAGAATACGATTCCCGTTTCTATTAGCAGGTTTGGGGACGTGCATGGCTCTTAGTTCTCGATATATCAAAGAAAAATAATTTTAAGATCAGTATTCTAACCTAATTTTTAAAACATTCTGGATCATATTGAAAAGCTAAATATATCGGAAATATGCCGAAAAATTGGCCGATATCGATACATCTCTACATGATATAGGTTATTCCGCCATTTGATGAAAATTTTCAAAACTGTTCGAGGTACTCATGACTTAAAACAGGCTTTTTGTGTGGAATTGCCATGCACACGTATCTGAAGATGATAAGAGACACTGGTTTACCACCTCATTGTGGAATGCAATCATTTTTCACATGATTTGTTCAAATGTGCTTTTATGATAATATAAATTTTGAAGAGTCTATAGTGTGTCATTAAAGGTTTAGTTCTCTGGGACAGAGTGCTTGGGCATTACAGGCAGCGTACAATAAATATATATACGAAACTCTTAATTGGCTGGAAGCCGGAATGTTCAAAGAACATCAAATCTTATTAAATTAACCTAGTAAGATTCGCTAGGCGTTTGTAGGATTAAATGATCTGAATATGCTATTAGAATATCCCTTGTGCAAATCTACATGCATCAATCGTCGCACACACAGATTTCCGTATTATGAAAGACGAGCAAAGTAACCTCTGTTATAATTGCTCATGTAACTATTGTTTGTGATTGTTGAAGTAGGACTAATCGCTGGATGGACTAAATCTTGCACCATTGTTTTTTTTTCTGTGTATAAAATTTCAGTTCAATATGAATAAAGCTAAGCTATTGGAAAATAAGAAATATCAAATACTTGACAAGTTTCCTTAACCAAGATAACTAGCAAGCCTGCACATAAGCATTTTACTATTAGGCCAGCAAAGGTTTTTTGTTCCCAAAATAATTTAGATAATATATATCAACAAATGTACCAACGAACATATATTTACGGCACAGTTATTTCATACCAATATAGTGTGTAAAAAATAAAGTTGTTGAAAAGGTTATATTATTGAAACAGGCGAATTCACAACATAGAACTTACAAATAATACATTGCCGCTTTCTTAGGCCTGCAAGATATATATACAAGCTCTGTAATTTGGTGAAATATTGTTCTTGAAAGTTATATAGCGAGCCCAAAAACACTGACGATACAATACATTGTTTTATTTTCCCATCTTAAAGTGCAGCTTCCATCTGTTCCGTTATCCCAAAAGCATGAACTAGCAGTGTGTAATCCAGCACCATTTTTCTGCATTATCACAGCAGTGACGATGTACTTGAATGGTCTTCCCAGCTTAGTCAAATGGTTGAGACATTGTTCGACTACATTTGAGGTCCATTGGTTTACTTTGTTGTGTTGATAAGCGTTTCCGCCAATCGTATTTTCTATAGATTCCTTTATGATGTTGCTAACATCATCAACAACAAAAGTTGTTTCTTCGCCTGTCTGAAAATCATCCATAACTAATTTTAAAAGCGATAATACGAAGAGCAAAAGCCGACAATTCCAAAACAAACAATAGAAAACTGCCGAGATTCGTAGCCTAGCAGCCAGAGATTTTATTGGTGGTGGCCGGAGTTGCTAAAAATACCATTCGGTTTGAAACTTTTTGACAGGGTTGTTTTGAAGGCCAAATTCAAATTTCGAGTTGGCTAACTTGCTGTCTATATAAATCAAGAGTCGTGGTATTTTTGTCAGCGTTTACTGCCTTATTTTCTGCAAAAATGTGTATTTCATATTTACACTAGATAGATACGACCATAGATATCATACTACGGCGATTCAGTTCCGGGCGAAATACAAACAATTTTCGCCGTTATATACCGACGAGGCCGCACCCGGCCTTCCTCCCGAATATATGTAGATATTTTGATATCTGCATTTATTGTATACTAAATAAATTATACTCATTGGAATTGCAATATTAGCTCAAATTTGATAGATTTGCAAGATCGAAAAAATACGAATTAAAACTGGATTTATTCGTGCAGCTCACCACATATTTTCATATCTAGAGTAAAAGTGCTTTTATTTTAACGTAAGTCGACGCAATCGCGACAGTTATTACGGAAAGACCTTTTAAAATGCTCGAATCGGCCACAAATTGAATATTTCGGGCAATAGAAAAATTCAACTAAAAAAGTAGGCGGTATTAGCAGCAGGGTTGCAAGATTGGCTTTTTTAACGCCAAATTTGCCATTTTTGGCTTTTTTCAAACACGTTTGGCGTCAGAATTTCCGTTTGGCTTTTCGGCGTTTTTCAAGTCCAGTCTAGTGTCTATTATTAAAATCATATGAAATACAATATTTAGTGTGCAACAATAGCCTAATACCGGTACTGGTACGGTACTTAACATTAGGCTTTCCCCGAGCGTCGATTTCTCAGTTTATTACCTTAACGCTTAACCATACCTAACCAATAAGAAATACTTGCAGTTTCTGCTGCCGCTCAGACAGATGTTCAAGCAGGGTTGTAAACATTGCCTCGTTTTTATAGTTTTGCGTGTTGTTTGTCAGTTTCAAGTTCCGTTTTCACAAATGGTTGTATAACTTAATTTTCATTATGCCTGATGTGAAGCTTTAGTTAAATTGCAGTAATCAAAATTTTGTCTCACGAACGATGTGATTAACTACAGTAAAAATTACTGACTTAGCTATTAGTAGTCCACCTGTGAGCGGCACGTTGTTAGATAATTTTTAATAAAATTGATGGTTTATAAATTCTAAAATTTCGAAAATGTAGGTATATCACATACTGAAACGGTACCCTGTATTGTATATATTGAATGGTAAAATAATGCTGTCCGTTTTAATATTTATTTTTATTTGGTTTTTTGATTTTTTGAAATTGTTTCATATAGATGTCAGCTTGACTGTGTTGAATTGAATGTCGATTCTGGTTCTTTCGTTCAATTAATCCTTTTTACCTATAAACCCTTCATCCCGCTGAAGTGGAAATCGCCATGATAGCAACCGAAAAAACAGACAATTGTGTGGCGCACTGAATGAACTGATGGCTCTACATCATCATCAGTATTGTTCCAAGAGCTTAAAATCTAACAAATTATGGGGTTTTTGTACCTAGTAAAATTTTTGGCTATGCCCTGATTTGGCTTTTTTTGATCGCTGGTATCTGGCAACCCTGATTAGCAGCGAGTGTCAGGATCGCAGCGACATCTTCACAAATCGTCGCAAAGTATTTATTATATTAGTATAATTGACATAGTTATTTTGAATTACGCGACGTAAAAAAAAAATTCGAGCGACATGCAATAGTGAAGTTCACTCCAGCATTCCAGGGATGGCTAAAATATAGGCAGATTAGTGTCAATACAAGCTGTTATTATATGCTCTGGGAGAAGACAGTCGCCCCTCAACAAAAAATATAGAAATGACGTATGCACGTATGCATTATTTATACCAGTGTTTCCTAAACTTTTTTCTGCTAGCGCCCACTTGGACGACTTTTTAACTAGCAAACGCCCCCCTGACAAAAAAGTCAAAGCAACTTTGAAATACCACCAGCTTGAAAATATCTGGCTTCATTTCAGTCAAAAACAGTCTTGAGATTCGTCTGACACTGTCGATGAAAGTGCGGTCACTGCACTAAACACACGCTCAAGCGAGACTGAGCTGGCAAGAGCATTAAAAAATATTTTCACACGATCTCACACGTGAGGATATTTCAATTTGATTCTGTTGCAAGGGAGATGTAAAACTGAACTTTAGTTTGAAGGTTAAAACCCAATGGTACCTAACTATCTCCAAAAAAATATTTAATTTTATTTTCTCTTGAACTTCTGTTTGCGTATGATTATACTCGGAAGTTTCGCAAAACGTTCAACTACTCGCTTGGTTTTCTGCTAAAGCGCACCTTCTGCTATCCGGACATGGAAATGAAAGAGTACAAATACAGAACATTATGTGGTTGTGCCGAGAAAAATCTGCCCATTACTTGAGGGATTGATAGAGGTGACCAGCAGTGATTCCAGCATGACGAGGCGACCCCCCCCCCCCCCCCCCCCAACCCACGTATACATTCAACCAGACGCTTGCTGTGGGCACCTTAATTATCGGACTGAAATCTTTCAGGTTTTGGTATGTAGGGTGTTCGAAGGACAATTAAAATCGGGACAATTCTCAAACGATTGGTGAAGCTGCAATTGCAGAAATAAAGAAATACCCAGAGATGAATGATTAACAATGTTGCAAAAATATTGAACTTCTTTTTTCAATGCCAAAAAGATCATTTGGAACATATTCTAAATCTGGAAACAACATAGTTTTTGTGCAAAACGTCCTAAATTTTCCGACACTTTAGGGTACAAACATACGCAAACAGAAGTTCAAGTGTAGACAAAACTAAATAATTCACTCCATTCTCGTTTAAGTAATTGAGATATTGATGGTTTCGTTTTTGGGGATCACGCTGTATAATGTTTTTAATATAAATCAGTTAAATATGCTGCTTAAGTTGCAATGTCGAACATAACATAGCTTGGTCTTTGCCAATTTATGTTTTAGGCTACTTATGTAGCCTTATTATTCAATGACCCAAGAAATAAAAATGAACTAGTCGCAACATGGAGATGGTCCTATCTGACGTACGTCAGTTCAATCAGATGCCTAGCTCTCACGTGTTGTTCTTAACAAAACCAAAATTATAACATAAGGGTGTTGTAGGTTACTTACACTATACCGCTTCAAAGCACCATAGAACCCGATAGTAAAACGAAGCTGTTATTCAATACAGTACAACGAAACGTGAAGTGCATGGTGAAGGAAGCATATGCCGTATGCGCTAGACTAGTATTATTATGAAACAATACGAATTTAAAAAAGTCATAATATCTATTCTACGTTAAGCGAAAAATTTCCAACACCGAAATCACAATCAAACTAGTTTGAACCAAAACATAGCAGTAAATGACATAAAATATCACACTTCTTGTGAGTTCCCGTATTGATGTCAGCGCCCCACAATCTGCCAGTTTGACAGCCAGCGCCCTCCAATGGACCTTTCCCCGACCTTTGACCCCCGAAAAATTCTTCCTATACTTTACCATTGCAAAATTTTCAGTGCTATTTTAAGAGTGCCTATGCGAGTTGGCGCCTGTAAAATGGGGTATGTGTTGCAAACCATCATTATGATTCATCGCATACAACAATCTGTTTTTTAAAAGTAACGGTAAAGAATTTTAGCTTGGTCTATCACAGCTATTTCTACACTAATTTTTTGTTACTGCAATTAAATTAAAACTCCTAGGAAGACAGAGTGATCATTGAATTATCTGATTTATATTTAAGTTTCTTAAACCGACTGAAAACTGACGAATAAAGTTAAAAAACGCGAAAACGAGATAATGTTTACGACCACGCTTGAAAATCTGTCTGAGTGAGAAAAGTGTCTGGGTGGATGCGAAAAGGGAGCATTGTTACGTCACTTTTTGCATCTTGCTGATTGGCCAATGTCACGATGTAAACAAGGAAGTCGATGCTCGGGGAAAGGTCCATTGCCCAAATCGCCATCAGCGCCCACCAAGTCATCGTAAACGCCCACAAGGGGGCGTTTTCGTCCACTTCGGGAACCGCTGATTTATACTGCTCTATTATCCGGTTAATCGTCACAATAATATCCGAATATCAGATAGCAAAATACATAACCGTTATTCGGATAATCCAACCCTAGTTCGATATCGCGTCACCGTCGGCCTAAAGTGGAGTAACTAAGGGTAGTGGCATTTTTGTTAACCGTCGGCCTAGCTTGTTGACTGTTAAGTTCATTATCAAGTTTACAGCAATTCTTTTGGTTTTGATATAGGCAAACAAGTAGATCTAAAAAATAAGGTTAAGTCTTTTTCCTCCATCTCTGCCTGGTTTAACTTTGAAATGCTAAAAAAACTAAACTCTGTTCAGCAGATAAATAAACTAAACTACAATTCTGCAGCTCGCGAAATTGCGACAAGTACTTCTATCTCCATTAGAGGCAAACACTACGTAATGGAAAGCAAACGACATAGAATGGTAAAATGATTGAATTGATTTACATACACAGCATTTAAATTAAGAAACAATAAAACATTTATAGTAAATGCAATGTAAAATATTAAATCATATTTTAAGTATATTTAACACAATTCTGTTAGTTTTCACGGCGCATTTGGCAACTCGCCACGAGAATCCATTGGGAACCGCTTCATTACACCGTTTTCTTTATCAATTTTACATTTTCTTTTTTTGTTGTCATTTTGACAATTTTTTTTTTTCAATAGATAGTTTTGTACTTCATATTTTATTACATATTTACATAGTTCATAGCTTGGCGTTGAAAATCCACCCTTCGGTTTCATTCTAGCTCCAATAACAGCTGAGTTATTTGATTCGGTACAACAACACGACGAAAATTTCCCATAAGACTCCATTATTTTGCGTTTTCCAAATACGGCACAAGATGGCGTTCATGAACTTGTCTATCATTAGGCAAGTTGGTTGCCGGCCGTTGGTTTTGGATACCGCAGCTTTATGTGAACCAAATTTAGAAAACTCAATTTGGGGTAG